ATAAGAGAGAAAGAGAGAGAAAGTGTGTGTGTGTGTGTGTGTGTGTGTGTGTTTGTCTATATGTGAAGAAAGAGAAATAATCAATTATATTTTAATTACGATGATCTGCATGATCGACAATAATAACAACAATAATAACAACATATTTATCAATTTTCAAGAGATCTCTTTTGGATGAGAATTTCTCCAATTTGTCTTTTTTTTTCTTTTTTTCTTTTTTGTTTTTTTTCTTCGAACAAAACTTAAGAACATCACGTATGTATTTTAAGAAACGTACGAAGTTATATACGATTATCACGCGTACACACACACACACACACACATACACATACACACACAGGACATTTTTAATATAAGCTTGAGCAAGTTTTTTTAGAATAAAATTCTTTATACTTTTATAGAATGGGCGAATGTAATAGGTGACATGAGCAGCGTGGATGCAAGGAAACAAAAACAAAAACAAAAAAAAAAAAGAAAAGAAAAAAAAGCAGAAGAAAAGAAAAGGAAACGCAATATGAAATTTATTTAATCCGAAAAAAGCAAAAATTTCATTTTCATTTGTATGAAATGTTCAAAGTAAAGAAAGAAAGAAAGAGAGAGAGAGAGAGAGAGAGAGAGAGAGAGAGAGAGAGAAAGATAGAAGGAGAGAAAGAAGAGAGAAAAGGAGGTAATAAGAATAAATGAAAAAGAAAAAAGAAAAAGAAGAAAAAATACAGGAAAAAAAAAAATTATATTCAAGGAACGATGCAATTTTTTCGCTCTGTGTTAAAAAGTGATATTGCACGGTTCCAATGTCGTTCAGTTTAAATTGATATTGTGACTCCGTTAAAGACAGAATATTCGTGCGTTATCATCGATACTCGTTTATTTATTATTTGTTAGCATTTCCTCTTTTTGAGAACGAATACGTTCGTATATGAAATTCAAAGGGAGAGAAAGAGAAAAAAAGAGAAAGAGAGAGAGAAAGAGAGAGAGAGAGAGAGAAACAGAAAAGAAAACAAAGCAAAAGAAGAATAAAAAGGATACGTAGCGATGTTATCCTTTAACAAAATTATTATTAAGTAAGATCGATCATTTCTTTTTCTTTTTCTTTTTTTTTTTTTTTTTTGTATTTTTGCTACGATTTCATCCTGTTTTTTTTTTTTTTATTGTTTTTCTTTTTTCATTTTTTTTTTATTGGTCTACCAAGTTGAAACATTCGACCTATTGCTTTTTATTTTTTTTGTTATTTTTTTGTTATTTTTTTTTTTTTAATCGATAAAATCGTCGACGTATATCCAAATATTTACTTAAATATTTTTGTCAATTAAAAGGGACGAGCGCATGTGTGTCGTCGTTTGATGTATTTCGAGTGTATATCTAGTTGGTCACTTTGCTGTTTATCGTTTGTCATAAACCACAATCATACCGCGGCGGCATCCTGTCGTTCTCATAAAACGCAGATCGACGGATTGACGAATAACTCTCATAAAAAAAGTCGAGCAGATCTTCGAAGCGAGTAACGAAATGCACACGTCTTTGAAATGGTCGCACGATGACAGCTTCGTTTCGTTTCGTTTCTCGTTTCTCGTTTCTCGTTTCTCGTTCTTCACATAATCCCTTCGGAAATCGATTATATATATATATATATATCTCCATGTAACAAACATTGAATTTTTCTCAATCTCGGAATTTACGTTCCTAGATATCCACAGTTCTGCATAGTATAAATAATAATGATGATAATAATAATAATAATATTTGACGAACGTTTTTACGTTTAATCGTAAGAAAAAAATTATAATAATGATAATAATAATAATAATAATAATAATATTTGACGAACGTTTTTACGTTTAATCGTAGCAAGAGAAAGTTTCACAAAGAAAAAAAAATTGTCCATATTCATGTACATACATATCCATATACGTGTATATCATTTTAATGATATTTCAACAAATTAATACGCGTTATTTCGTATCGTATAAAATTAGTCACCCTCGAAGAGAATATTTTATGACAATCGTTAATTTTCGATATACCATGTATTCGGAATAATAATTTCTATCATTTGGAAATGACGATACGCGTGGAGAAAACAAACAAATAAAAAAGAAAACAAAAAATAAGAAAAAAATAAAAAAAAAGGAACAAAAGAAGGAAAAAAAGAAGAAAGAGAAAAAGAAATTTGTTTCTTTAATCCGTGTAAATTTTGCCATTTAACAAAATCGTATATTGTTTGATCGTTAATGAGAATATTATAAACTGAGCTCTGAATATTTTTCTTTAAGCTCGTACACTTTATAGTGACCGTAATACAGACGTCACAGAAACGTCATTTTAATATTGTTTGAACATGTTTTTTGTTTTTTTTTCTTTTTTATTTTTTTTCTTTTTTTTTTTTTTTCTTTTTTTTTTTTTTTTTTTTACACGTACCTGCTTGACATTTAAAAACGTTGGAATAAAAAAAAAAAAAAAAGGAAAAAAAAAGGGAAAAGAAAGGAAAAAAGAAAGAGGAGCAAAAGAAAAGAAAAAAAGAAGAAGAAGAAGAAGAAGAAAAAACAAGCAACACATTTGTACACAGGTATCAATGACTGTGCCACGATGGCGTATATGTGGATGACAGATGTCGGAAGGTGAGAGTGCACCATCCAACGATACGTACTTGACACAACGGTGATCTATTATATTCACGTATGTTCGATTTCCGTCACTGTTATCGCATCCCGTACGGTTTCTACCTTGTCACGATTCTATTTTAATTTTTACGACAAGAAGAAACGGAGGAGATACTTTGACATGATATTAGTATGAAAGAACAAAACGGAGCATAGACAGAGAGACAGAGAGAGAAAGAGAGAGAGAAAAAAAATGATTGAAAGAAAATGATGATATATATATATATATATATATATATATATATATAAAATGTAAATTTTAATAATTAATAAAAAGAAATATAAGTTCCGATTACGTAGAATGAATTTAATGTTTATCATAACTTAAGACTGATGTTCAAATATTACGGAATAAAAATTTGTTGAATAATTAATTGTTATAATGTGCATTATTTATTTTTACGATAGGTATGTTACGATGATCCATATGAAAAAGATAAAAGAATCCCATGTCATGCATGCGATATGAGATTTATAAATGACGAAAGACGAAAGAAAGACAGAGATAGAGATAGAGAGAGAGAGAGAAAAAGAGAGAGGGAGAAAAGGTAAATGTAAAATTTAACGTTTAATCGATAATATATCTCGTACGATTAAAAATATATTTATTACTTTTTCCATTCGATCGATACTGTCTAATGATAATAATTCTTGAATTATTTAGAAAGAAATAATTTTATCGTAATTTAACGATATAATATATATTTTGAATTTACATTAAATGTCGCTTTGATAAAATTGATCTTAGTATATTTTCTATATAGGTTGGAAACTATGAAACGGGCGTTTTCGTTTAGTTATTTAATTTCATTCAACGCCCATTTCATAGTTTCCAACCTAATATGTGATACATTAGCGTTATTAATTAACGATTAGAATGGATCGTATATAATCCGTATAGATTATTTGTTTTTCTCTATTATTTACATAGATCTATCGTTTGGAAAAAACTTAACGAGGAAAAGTGGGACGCATATGTGTGTCGCAGGTGGGATGTAAATAGAGCAAGGTAGAATATTTACTTCGTTAGAATCATCGATGAAGGCGATGAAATCGTCTTTTACATAATTCATAGAATTGCCACGAATCGAGCATTCGTGTTTATCTTAAAGGAAGAAAGAAAGAAAAAGGAGAAAAAGAAAAAGGAAAAATAGAAAAATGTTGTAATAAAAGAAAACCAAAAAAAAAAAAAAGAAGGAGAAAAAAGCAACAACAAGTTATCCTGTACCTTTTTTTCCATTCATTTCTTCTCGTCCCGTCCCGCTCACCTGCCCACTTTTTATTTTTATACTACGACGAGAGTATCCTTTTTTATGAATAATAAGAATCGATATATCGATTTGGTTTGAACGAGAGAGAGAGAGAGAGAGAGAGAGAGAGAGAGAGAGAGAGAGAGAGAGAGAGAGAGAGAGAGAGAGAGAGAGAGAGAGAGAGAGAGAGAGAGAGACCCACTAAAGCCTCGAACTCGAGACTCTTGACGACGATGATGATGAAGAAGATCGTCGAAGAATGAACACGTTCGTCGTCGTTGTCGTCGTCGTCGTCGTCCTTGGCGATTACAAAAAAAATTTTTTTTTGCCGTGTCCTAGAATGTTTTCTTACATAAAGAAAAAAAAAAAAAAAAGAAAAGAAAAAAAAGAAAAAAGGGAAAAGAAGAAAAAGTAAAAGACGGAAAAATAAGTAGGACGAAATATTTGAAGGATCAAAAAGATTTGAAAAATGGATCGAGGAAAAGTGAATTGAATCGAAAACAAAGATCATGAATTGATTAATCTTTTAAAAAGAGATATTAATAATACATTTGAATGAATTAGTCGAATGTTTCATTAATATTCTTAAAGTCAAATATCTATTCGATTATTCGAAACAGATACGATTGAATGGAATAAAGTGTATCATCGTCGTATGCTTGTTTTATTTACATGTGTAAGTAATAATTAAGTATGCAAAAAGAGAACGAAGAGACAAACTTAATGAGACTTTATTAATGACAGAGAAATACGGAATTTAACTTTCGATCTTATTGGCTCTTTGTCACGAGTAATGATAATTAATTTGTAAATCGATTATACATTTTGAGTATCATCAATTTCAATTATAGATTTACGTTTGCACTCGATAGATACGTATATGTGTAATATCATCTGATTTTATCTTCATTCATAGATTTCAATTAATTTGTAATAGTCTCTCTCAAATTGTATTTACATTTATGAAGTCTTTTTCCTATTATTATTATCGTTGTCATCATTATTATAATTTTTCATTCATAAAGATTTATATTTAATTTATAAGTTAAGTCTCAATTAATACCTTTGATTTTTATATTTTTAAATTTTACAGTTATCCATCGACAACGGAAAATACTGGAACGATTAGATTTTCCCATAGTGGATCGATCTCGTGACGGTAATATTAATTTTCATTATATTTTCGAATATTCACGTTAATCACAAAATCATCGTTCTTTATAATCGACTTTCTTTAATTATTATTTTCATCGTTATTAATATTATTATTATTATCATTATCATTATCATCATCATCATCATCATTATTATTATTATTATTTTTATTTTTATTATTTGTATGTGCGAGTGTGTGTATGTGCGAGCGTGCGCGCGTGCGCGAAATTTCTCTTAATTGTTCACTCATTAATTGAGACTAGAATTGGAGTAATACCGGAAATCTATCGTAATACCACGCTAAAACCCCCTATGTAATAGAAGAGTGAGGATTACTCAGCACTCACGTGGTCTCGAATTTGATAAAAGCAGTTCATTCGCGCGAGAAATCAAAAATGGAGGAAGGATTTGAGAGAATCGTAACTAATCCTCGTAGATCAATACCTTTTATTCTTTCTTTCCTTTTCTTTCTTTCTTTTCTTTTTTTTTTTTTTATCTTTTTTTCTTTTCTTTTCTTTCTTCTTTTTTTTTTTTTTTTTTCTTTTTTTTTTCTTTCTTCTTTCAAATCAGAATTCACGTTAATCCGATGAACTTTATATCGCTAATGGAACGATTTTTTAAATCGTTCCTTTATAAAAGAAACAAGTCGAAATTATATAGTGCGAGATTTTGTTTTTTTTCGTTTCCTTTTTTTTTTTTCTTTTCTTTGTCTTTTTCTTTTTTGTTTTATTTCATTTGATCGTTAAATTCTTCGAAAACGAAAACGTATCTTTACGTTAATAATAAATAAAAAAGAAATTGTGGATAGTATATTTTACTTTTATTGTCCTTTTTTTTTTCTCTCTCCATTTCAGTTCTTACTCTCTTCTCTCTATTTATTTATTTATTTATTTATTTTTTTTTATTTTTACTTATTTTTTTTTTTTTCTGAAGAAGATATACTATCCTTTAAAAATATGTTTTTTTTTTACATCCATACGTACACAATGCGTGCACACAACTCGTACATATATACATACATACATACATACATACATACATACATACATACATACATACAATATAAATATATATCTTGTGTATATATATATATACACGGTCCATATATTTTATTTGTCTATTAATTATTTCTTATTTTCCTTAGATGTCAATGAACGCAACGGCAGGTACTATTCTCGTCGATCAAGAGATCAATCGAATACTTTTGGAACGGGCACAAGAATGTTTCGAGCAACAATCCGCAAATACCACTTCTCCGCCAGGTAAGATTATGACGTTAAGAAAAAAAAAAAAAAAAAAAAAAAAAAAAAGAAGAAAGAAAGAAAAAAAAAAATAAAATAAAAAGAAAAGCATAGTACATTAAAAGTATTATCAATGACGTTGCTCGTATTAAATGAATATGTTGTTGTGCATTTTTTGAGAAACAAAACGAAACAAAAGAGAAAAGAACAAAGTCTAGAAAGGTTATTTCACATTAACTAAATGATTAACATTTCCTATGATTATTCAGTTCTGTATAGATATATACGTTATACGTCTCGTGCATACTTAGATCTTATCGTTAAATGCTTTCCGGGAAATTATTAAAAAGATGCATTAGCAGATGAACTAAGTGAAGTAATTGATTAGACTATTCAAACAGAGGAAGAAAAAAAGAATGTGTGTGTGTGTGTGTGTGCGCGCGCGCGCTGCGTGCGTTTGTACGAAAAAAAAAATTGGCAAGAGAGGAGAGAAAAGTGTAAGAAAAAGAAAAGAAAAAAAGATAAAAAGAAAAAAAAAAAGAAAAAGAAAAAGAAAGAAGGATCCGATATAAGAGCTGAGACATAAGATAATAATCGTAATATCATACATAATGATTTCCAAATCTACATAATATTTTTTCAACATCTATTTGATCCATTGTTAATTCATGAAATTCAAAAGGATTTTCATCGTATTAAAACGATGAATGCTCGTAAAAATTTTTCAATTGCATTAATCAAATACCATTTCGTTTTAATTTAATCAATACTGCGGTCGAATATCTCTCCACATATGTATATCAGATTTCGCTTAATCGAGAATTAACATTGAATTATTATAATTCATTTCATAATTCAGTTCATCGATTCGATCAACAATCGCATAAAGAAAGTTTTCTTCTTTGTCTTTCTTTCTTTTTTTTTTTTTTTTCATTTCGTTTCGTTTTTTCTTTCTTCTACTTCTTTTTTTTTCTTTTTATAAAAAAAAAAAAAAAAAAAAAAAATATATATATATATATATATATATATATACACGACCTGTACATTATCCGCTCGTAATTATAATACGATCTTAGAAAAGACTATAAGTCGCAATATTTATCATATCGTATGTAAATTTTTCGATCTCAAGATTTCTTTTTCATTATCTCGTTTAATATATTATATACATGTATATAATATATATATATATATATATATATATATATATATATACGTATATATATATTATACTTAATATACAGAAGTAGTCTTTTGCAAACAGATCGAACTCTTTCTCTCTTTCTCTCTCTCTCTCTCTCTCTCTCTCTCTCTCTTTTTTTGTTTTGTTTTTTTTTTCCTCTATCGATAACAATTCATCTTATTTCCTTATTTATATAACGAATAAACGTTTTGTTCTTATTTTAAAATATCACTTATAATAATTTCGTCAATTGTTTTTCTTTGATTTAGACGGTGTTTTTCTATTATCAGATGCTTGAAAGATAAGACGATAAAAATATTTCAATCCACGTAAAAGAACTATGATAATATAGAGTGTTATAATGATAGCAAGTAGTATCACTCCGTAGACGTCAAATAAATTTTTTTGCCACCAAGGTAAATGAATGGCCGGCGATTGTAAGATTTTACCGTGTTTGATAACATATTCAATCCAATATATTGCCGTATCCATCGCTGATTGTGGCCTATCGGTAAACATCTTAGAAAGTTCCTTCACGTTTTTCCTAGAAACAAACAAACAAATAAACAAACGAATAAACAAACGAATAAATGAATGAACGAATAATCATAATAATAAATGAAAATATTTCCATAATCCATTGATCGATACGATATAATAATTACGTTTGAGATATTATTAATTAGTGACGTTAATACGTTAGAAAACAGTGAGTAATAATGACTAACGTTAATTATCGTGGTAAAAAAAAATTGCGCGTTTAGTAAGAATCGTTTTTATTGTTTATCGAAAGAAAAAGAAAAAAAGAAAAAAAAAGAAAAAAAAAAACCAAAAATATTAAAGGAAAATATAAATGATATATGTACAATTCGTAATAATGACATATTACGCCGTGACGTTATTAAATTCATTCCTCGTTTCTTTTTATTAAACTTTGTTCCTCTTTTTTCTTTTTTTTTCTTTTTTTTTTTTTTAATATGATATTGCATTAGCACAAATATTTGTTATTTGTTTTGTCTTGTTCCTTCTTTTTTTGTTTCCTATTTTTTTTTTCTTCTTATTATTTCTCGATATATAAGAAATATAATATAATATAATAAAAAATGATTTGATAAAAGTATTTTAGAAAAGAATACTGTGAATTGATCGTCCATTTGATTTTACGACAGGATCATATTAAACGTCATAGAAAAATAATTTTATTTCAAAAAGTTCTTAGGTAACTCGTAAAAACTTATTTTATGTATTATCCTATCAATTTCGTGATTTTATTGATCACGTATAAAAGTTTTCTTTTCTTTTTTTTTTCCCTCGGCCCCCGGCCCACTCCCCTCCGCCCTTCTCCTTCTCTCTATGGAAACACGTGAGAAATTATTTTTACAAAAATCAAATCGATTATACTTACATGTAAGAAGGATCATTTAGAATGGTTTCCAAGGCATTTGTCAATTTTTCTTCGGTAACCTCTTGAAACGAACCAAGGGAAATGGCTATCTTCCTCTTCACATAATTTTGTATATTTATTTTCTGATCGCCGAAAAGTGGTATACCTATCATTGGAACTCCACAGTATATCGATTCCGTCGTACCCATAAGACCACCATGGGTAATGAATGCACGTGTATTTTTGTGCTCTATAACATTAGATAAAAGAAAAGGAAATAGGAATAAAAATTGTTAAATTTAATCAATATTAAATTCGATGGAATACATATGTATCGGTAATTATTTTAAATGATAAGTTATTTTAAAGAGATAATTGTTAAGTATGTTAAAAGTATGTATTCATACTAAAAGTTATTTATGACATTTAAATATATGCCAATGTTTAGATAATATTTGTATTAAAAGTATGTAATATTTGTTATCATATATATATATATATATATATATATATATATATATATATATTCAATCGATCCTTTAATAAAGGAATTCTCCGGGTTAAAGATAAAGGTTTAGTAAAGATAATGAATTTTTTTTTTTCTTTTTTTTTTTCTTCTTTTACTCACTTAATATTGGTATCTGAGAAAACCAGCTTTGAGTCATAACATTTTTCGGTAAGCCAGGTAATAATTCTTCCTTCTTTGCCACCTTCATCAGTACACGGACGGGCGCTATTTTTTCAAATGCTTTGTAAAATATCTCCATCAATTCTTTCGGAAACGTTTCGATTCTGACCATAGAGCCAAACGTGAAATAAATACATCCGTGTTTGCTTTCGTCCAACCATTTTTGTACTTCCTTTTAAATGATTCATCATGAGGTCGTCAATTAACAATTTAACAATAATAATCGATCATATAAAAAATATTTAACTTACCGGTGATAATGGGTCTATGTCATTGCTAAGATGCAATCCACCGACTTCGATTATAGATTGCGGAAATGATCTGATACCGTGTACAGTATGATGAGAATTAACTAATACCAATGATAGTTCATTGAAGAGATCTTTTATAGTCGTCTCCATACCAAAATGTTTCTTAATTAATTCAGTTTGTTTACTGGTATAATAATTAATTTGAATTTGTAAATAATAAATTGTTATTGTGTTTATTAATCTTTCCCAGAATGTCATTTGTTGGGAATAACCCGAGAAAATATTTGGTACGTAAGCCGTTTCAGTTGGTACGCCAATGAAATGACTCGTCCAATCGTGAAATGGAGAAGACATCATACCAACTACCGGTAAATTTAAATGACGACCAAACGCAAGATAACAATGAGCGACAAATAGCTGAAAGGTATTAATTTCAATTAACAATGTTTCTCAAATATACCCATTCATTCGAGATATTATATATAATATCTCGCTACTGTACAAAATCGTTCTATCATTTCTATATTTAGTGTTCGCATCATCTTGACACGATTGGTATTTAATAATTACATAATTCTATTTTAATTCCAATTTAACACGTGTTTGGTATTTTCCCCCAAGAACGTTTCTTTTTTGTTATTATACGAAAGTATCAGTTACATTGACGGAGTCCAAGGTCATATTACCGCGATTATTTGCTAAGTCATCGTTAATAGCTTTTAAAGTATATTGGATAGATAACTGCGCCGGGAAAATTTCTACTTCGTAAGATTCAACGTAACATATCCATTTATACTAAGAGAAAGAGAGAAAGAGAGAGAGAGAGAGAGAGAAAAAGAGAGAGAGAAATGTTAATAATTGATTTACATTATGAATTATAATCAATCAAACTTGTTACCTCTGTGATTACGAGATCATAAGGTGGATTTTTTGCTGGATTTTTTATTATTTCTTGTAATTGTGGTTGCTCCAGTAACTCGCATAATTTGAAACCTGCTATATATGTAAGACGTTCTATATTCATATGGCCAAAATGTACGACTTCTTTTGCGGTCAAATTGTTAACAGCTGTTCCCATAGTATTTTCCAAAATGATCTCCCTATAATTGGGATTGTTATATCGTGATTTAAAATGCGTAATTACGTCAACTTGATGACCACGTTCAGCGAGTCCTTTCATCATCGCCTCCATCATGATCCAATGACTTTTTCCATTAATCGGGAACACACCTAAAATTTTATATCCATCGGTGGAACATTGGGAGGCTATAAAAGCCAGAAAAAATGTTAGAACGATGAGTCGCATCTTTTAAACTTGTTGATTACCTGTTGATTAAAAGAAGAAGAAAAAAAAAAAGGACAAATGTTATTAGAATTATTTTTATCTTGAATCCGAGTATTATTTCGATGATAATTAATATAGGAATGATCATTATTTATGCGTTCGATATTGTGATAATTATTATTATTATTATTATTATTATTATTATTATTATTATTATTACTATTATTATTATTATTATTATTATTTATTATTTATTAATAGAGAGTAATGTGAATTGTAGCTGTCTTATGTTATCATTAATGATTGATACATGTGAAAAATGGATGCGCGATAATACGATATTTGTCTCTATCATTTCTCTTATCAGTATTTTGAAATTATCTTAGAGCAATTTTTAGTTTTTTTTTCTTTTTTTCTTTTCTTTTTTTTTTTTTGTTATTACGTAAGAAAGAATTTCTATTTTAACAATACTTTATTTCTCCTTTTTTCTCTCTTTTACAAACACACACAAACATGGACGCACACACAAACACTGACATTGACGCACACATACACAGATACACATTTATTTATTTATTTGTTGATATACTATACGCTTCATTTCTAATATTTTTTCTCCTACGATAGACTTTATATTTTTGAAACGCCGAATGATACACATATTTCGTAAGTAATAATCCTTTAAGATTTTCAAATAAATCCGTACGATTGAGATTTTATTACGTTGCGTGTAAAGAGAGAAAAAGAGAGAAAAAAAAACAGCGAAAGAAGAAGAAGAAGAAGAAGAAGAAGAAGAAGAAGGAGAAAGAAGTATATAAAGTACATAAATGAAACTTTTGTGAATGGTTTTACTCACTCTTTCTTATGCATTCATGAGACGTCGTTGATAACGACACGGAGATTGGCCAAGATTATTGTTACACGTTACGAGGGCGAAAATGGACTGACGTGTTTGATCTCTCACAAAGAAAGTTGGATGCGTTTGGTCGTCTGAATATTTGGACTAACAATAAAGTTTACCGCTAGAGGCAGGACTAACTTATAGCTTGTGGCGACATTGGACTTTATACTTGGTCGAAGTTACAAAATCATTTCGGTGACTTCAATCGTTATAGGAGTTATAATAATAGGATAATTTTCTTATGTTTTTACCTCGCAGTATCACATTTTTTCTTCTCTTTCCTTTTCATTTTTTTCCTTCTTTCTTTTTTCCTTCCTTCCCTCCTTCCTTCCTTCCTTTCTTTCTTTCTTTCTTTCTTTCTTTCTTTCTTTCTTTTTTTTTCTCTCTTTCTTCATCTTTTTCTTTTTCTCTTTTTTTTTCTTTTCTCTCATTTTTTTAATTTTCTTTTCTTTCCATAACCCCCCACTCCTCGTCCCCCCTATCGAGATGAAATTCATTTCGAAATTATCTACCTTATCGACGGAGTACGTTTACATTTTTTCCCGTGTATCTTTTCAAAAGTTAAGCCGATTTTTAATAAACCGATTAGTTTCATTTTAATGATCGATGCTGATCATTTTAATGGGGAAACTTACACGAGGAACAAAAGCTTTTCCAAGAATTTTTCTTTTTTACTCAAAGCAAAGTAGTAATATTATTATTATTACTATTATTATTATTATTATTATTATTATTATTATTATTATTATTATTATAGATCGTTCGATTCATCTTGATCTCAATTATAATATCACGATAGTATGTGGCTCTTTTTTTGTCCGCTTATGCGAAAAAATTATTTGTATATCGTATATCGTATTATTTGTTCTCGCCTTGTAAGAAAAACAATTTTTGTACGAGCATTTATCTATTTTTTTTTCTTTTTCTTCTTTTTTTTTTTTTGCTTTTTTTTTCCGTATCTGATATACCTCGTCGTGAGATAGGCTACTGTTTATGTGTCGGCGCCATATATATACTACACGCACGTGCACATACGTCATGAGAATTATATTTTACGTGGCAGTAGTTACTTAAAACCGGATTTTATATGATACTTTTTCATTGAACTATTATGTAGCATCATTTTTTTGATGATCCCTCCCCCCCCCCCTCGCTCCTCTCCGCCCCCTGATTTTATCATTAGTTTGTATAAGTACACGCAATATCCAAGTTAAATTTCTACCTATCATGAATATTCATTATGTTACGTATTAATCTAAATAAGTTTGTAACGGAATATAAGGTAATAGAAAGTAAATAAGAAAAGTAATTAATTAATATTTTTAATATGTCGTACCGATTGATTAGAAATGATTAAATCTTTTTTAGGGGGAATAAAAATCGATTCAATTCATTCTTTTGTTAGAAATAAATCGATCCTTTTTAAGAGTCGATAAGTATCATTTGATGAAGGCCGATTAATAAACAAATACCTATAGAAAAAAATATTCTTACGGAAAATATTTTTCTTCTAAGTTTAATCAAATTTTTTAAACGTTTCGGAGATAAGAATAATTCTTATCTTCGTGATTTTAAATGTCTATACGTGATAAATAGAGCGCATTTTATGACTTTATATTGCTTTGGCGTATTTGTTGGTTTATCAGGCTTTAATTTTTGTATAATTTTATCGTATATGTATTTTATTTCTAATAGGTTTTTTTTTTTTTTTTTTTTTTTTTTTTTTTTTTTTTTTTTTTTTTTTTTTTTTTTTTTTTTTTGTTATTTATCGACGATTCAATTCGTCACGTTATAAGAAAACTATTTAATCTTTTAATCATTCGCAGGTTCGCTTCGTTTTATTATTAATGAAAATTGTATGTTTATTACTTATGTCTAAATTAAATTCTAAACTTCGAAGTTACCTTTTTAAATTTATTACGATCCTAAGGAAAACTTTTGCATGAAATTAATTTTATTTATTCTAGTGACTATCGTGATCGTCAGAGAAATAACAACGTTCATATCTATATCGATAAAACATTGAGATAATTATAGATAAATATCGATGTATAAGATCTTTCATAATAGTTCCGCAAGTCATCATAAGATAAAACCTTATTTATATTATAAAAAAAGAACGGTTTATCTATCGAATTAAAATTTATTCATGTTCCTATAACGAAATGCAATTAAAATCTCTCGACAAAATTATATTCTTCTATGATATTTACGATAGATAATTAACTTCTATGATACGAGAAAAAGGTTTAAAATAAATTAGGATAATCGTTTAGAATTATCGTTATCTGAAATTAAATTTGTTACGACATCTTTTTCACGAGTGCAAAATTGTTATTTGTCTTTGATATTATCATGTTAAGAAGCATTAGTATTAATTGAATTGTTATGTAAATGATGATAACTATAATCAACAATAAGAATATATATACGTCTAAAAGATTGTTTTCCCACCAATTCAAGTCCATGGCCGGTGAACGGAGTGCGTCCCATCCGTATTTCACGATATATTCAATCCAATAATTAGCGGTGTCGATTGCCTTCAATGGCCTATCCACAAATTTTTGTGCAATTTTACGTGCAGCCTCCCTGAAAAATATATTGTTATCGTTATTCAAAATGTTCCCAAATAAAAAGTACATAATTTATATATTAGACATATACAATTTGAGTTGATAATATATCGTGTTCTTTCGTTGAAAATAATATTCGTAAATGATACGAGAAATTAAATATTTCTATTGGCTTTTATCTTGAAAAAGTTAAGAGGTAATTAAACTGCTAATTGGAAGTATGTACCTGTATGTGGAATTATTTAAGATTGCGTTCAATGCAGCGTCCATTTCATCTTGCGACAAATTATCGTGGTCTAGTTTTATTGCAATATTCTTTTCCACGTAATTGGCGACATTTGCAAATTGGTCGCAGAAGATAGGTATTCCAATCATTGGAACGCCGCATGAAATGGCCTCCTGTGTTCCCATAAGACCACCATGAGTAATAAATGCCTTCACGTTTGGATGTTCTGAAAATACATTGGATACAATGATTCTACGTTGTTTATGAGATACGATATGAATGTGAAAATTTCTGAATGTAATTTAATTAATTATAGGAATGTTATAGTTGTTAAAGGACATTGCTAAACGATGGAATTCTAATAAAACGTTCGAATTTGAGTTAATAAAACTCACGTAGAACTTTCAATTGCGGTATCCACGGCAAAATGTGAACGTTCTTTGGCAAACCAGGTGGTAACTCTTTGGGATTTGGAATCTTCATTAGAATATTTATTGGCGATATCCTTTCGAAAGATTTATAGAATATATCGAGAATCTTTCTTGGAAATGATTCGATCTTGATCAGAGAACCGAACGAGAAGTAGACAAAACCATATTTACTCTCGTCACACCATTTCTGTAACTCCTGTATTACGGAATTAGAATAGAAATAAAAAAAAAATGTTAATTCAATGAAAAAAATCTTTTTTCGTTGAGACACATTGTTGTTTTACAATTAGATTTTATTTTTTTACGTGGATGATTCGTACGTTGACTTACAGGTGATAATTTCGAGTCATCATCTTGAACGTGCAATCCACCGACTTCGACGAAGGCCTGCGTTAATGGTCTGATTCGGTCCACAGTAAAATATGAGTTGACTAGAATCATTGAGATATTCTTTTCCAATTGTCGCACACTCGGTAAATTTGGACCGACGTACTTTCTTATTTGTTCGTCTTGATATTTGGTCAAATGATCGAAGTATATTTTGTTGAAGAAAGTGTATAGAAAGTTGTACGTTCGTTGCCAAAAATTCATTGGATTGTTAAAATGCAATAAAGTATTAGGATGGATGGCGAAATTTTCGGGATTTCCAATATATTGATTTTGCCATGGATAGAGAATGGAAGAACTGACACCGATCACTGGTACGTTCAAAAGATGTCCGAATATGGCAAAACAATGGGCAGCAAGAACCTACGACATGTAGAAAAAATAATTTTGTTATTATGAAAGATTTCATATTGTTATTTTATGTAGATATAGTTTGTCGATTAGACTTTTCGAATTAATAGAAAATAGATTTTGTACATATTTATTTTAATTTACCTAACTTATACGATCGCGCAGAGAAAAAGATTTACGAATACTTATTTTGGTCCTTACATGTATCTTAAAGTTATTATGTTTTTGGCCGATATTATATAATAGCCTCATATTAATTTATCACATATGTTTTTTATTTCTTAATGATATCGAATGATTTGATAGCAAATAAATTGGGAAGTTTATAATGTTTAGTTATGGTCAAATATTGTACGTGATCAGTTTAACATTTAATCTTTAACTGGTAGCATAATTTTTAGTTTTTCTTTCATTTTCTCTGTCTTTTTTTTTTTTTTTTTTTTCCCTTGAACTGCATTGAAATGCATGCGTCATTGAAAATTTTTTTTGTAGAGACATGCAAATATCCGATATCTTGCATAGGAAAGAAAAAATAAAACTTTCAGTCTAATTTGAGGAAAAAATGAACAATACAAAAAAAACAAAAATAGAAAAATAAATAAATGAAAAACAAAAATATTAAAGAAATACCTCTATCAGAACGACGTCATAGGGTGGATTCTTCGGAGGATTGTGAATTAGTTCCTGAATTTTTGGATTTGCCAAATGTTCACAAAGATTATTACCACATACGTTCGAAGTAATGTCAATCATGGAGAATTTTCTTGCGATATTGTATGACATGTTATTGACAATACTTATTTCCGATGGTATTACAACCAAATCGGTATAATTAACGAATGGTTTTTTCAATGGGTACGTACTAATCACATCGACTTGATGACCTTTTTTAACGAGACCTTTCATCAAACTTTCGAACATGATAAAATGACTTTTTCCATGATATGAAAAAATTCCGAGAATTCTATATCCGTGGGATAACGTTAAACATATGTAAATCCAAAAAATAATGCACAGTAAGGATTTCATTTTTTTCTTTCAAAAATCTTTTCTTACTTCACTTTCTTCGTTTCTTTTTAATATTTTTTTTGTACTAATACAAAATACCGTCACTACTTCTTTCGGATATATGACATGATTTTTAACTCATCCATTCGTTTATATACGTACCATGAATATTCGGTCAAAGGTGATAACCTTCCAAGATAACGTTTAGTTTGAATTCTTTTCCCATTTACAGTTAATTTTCTTTTTTTCTACCAATATAATATCTGTCAATATATTAACTTTTGAAAAATATCATTAATAATTTTGCAAATGTATGATGAGCTCTAGCACATTGACGAATAATTTAATCTTCGTTCATTAAATTTTTTATCGTTATCAGGAAACTATAAATTTTTAAAGTAATTTAGTTTAATTTCTTTTTTATTTTCTTTTTGTTTTTTTTCTTTTGTTTTGTTTTTTTTCTTTTTTTTTTTTTTTTTTTTACAAACGTCGTGATAACGGAATGATTACGTCAAGGTCGGTGAATGTATTTAAGTTTGTAGAAAAGGAACTTTAATTGTTGAAAAATTATTATTGCTGCATATCACTAATGTTCAACGAAGATCATAAATTTTTTCTAACGCATGTGATAATTATCTTTTAGAAAACTAATACTTCAAAATCCCTGGATCATGGATCCTTTATAGATAAATATATCTACGTTTTTCGAGGAGTCATACTCAAACTTAGTATCAAACGTGAATGATTATTGAACTATTACATATCTGAATCACTCTTGACACTGTATTGATAATGCAAAAATTTTTAATGAATATATATATATATATATAAACTATTTGAAGTTTTAGATAACTTTGAGATACAACAAAATATAACAATTGTAACTGTTATGTAATAATATTACAATACATAATATCAGTTGGCATTACAACAACCTACTGATGGAAAATAATTATTATATAATATAATAAACGGTAGTATATACTTGTACGAGTACATCGATTGTATTTGCTGACTCATCCATCTTGGTGATTGTTAATGTCAGTTTTTTTGCCGAACGATATCTTAATTATTATTATTATTATTACTATTGTTAATATTATTATTATTATTATGATTATTATTATTCTTAATATGAACTTTTAATTTTTACAAAAATGTGCATTACTATAAATATTTCGTATTATTTTCGTACATTTTTATTGCTCTTATCAATAAACATCATAAACAATGACTTGCAGAAATATTGATATATCGAGTATTTATATTCAAATCAATCGTTAAGTAATTAGTCCTTTAATAAATTCATTAATTATTAGTTAGAAGTTAAATTTTCAAAGAAACTTTTGTTAAAAAGTCTAATATTCATTCCTTTTAACAACTAACTTATTGTATCAATAGAATGTTCATCTCTATGTCGATAAAAAATTGGGATACATAATTGAAAATATATTTGGAAATAGTAAATATTGAAATAATACTATGAGTTATCATAGATAAAACTTTACTTATTTTCTGAACAAGATTGTTTATCGATATATAATTTATTTATACATCGATATCAGCGTAAAGTCGAGTTGATCTTTCAAACATCACCACAAATTTATCATCAGTTGAATGTATTCATAGGAATAAATTCCAAATAAATTCATTTATGTTTTAAAAAATCATGAAATATTATATCCCGAAATCAGATTGTTATAACATCTTCTTCATGCGTGAAACGTTGATGTTTGAGTTAGATAAAATTGTGCTCAGAAATATTTGAATTAATCGAATTGTTATGTAAATGAGGATAACTATAATCAACAATAAGAATGTATATACGTCTAAAAGATCGTTTTCCCACCAATTCAAGTCCATGGCCGGTGAACGGAGTGCGTCCCATCCGTATTTCACGATATATTCAATCCAATAATTAGCGGTGTCGATTGCCTTCAATGGCCTATCCACAAATTTTTGTGCAATTTTACGTGCAGCCTCCCTGAAAAATATATTGTTATCGTTATTCAAAATGTTCCCAAATAAAAAGTACATAATTTATATATTAGACATATTTAATTTGAGTTGATAATATATCGTGTTCCTTCGTTGAAAATAATATTCGTAAATGATACGAGAAATTAAATATTTCTATTGGCTTTTACCTTGAAAAAGTTAAGAGGCAATTAAACTGCTAATTGGAAGTATGTACCTGTATGTGGAATTATTTAAGATTGCGTTCAATGCAGCGTCCATTTCATCTTGCGACAAATTATTGTGGTCTAGTTTTATTGCAATATTCTTTTCCACGTAATTGGCGACATTTGCAAATTGGTCGCAGAAGATAGGTATTCCAATCATTGGAACGCCGCATGAAATGGCCTCCTGTGTTCCCATAAGACCACCATGAGTAATAAATGCCTTCACGTTTGGATGTTCTAAAAATACATTGGATACAATGATTCTACGTTGTTTATGAGATACGATATGAATGTGAAAATTTCTGAATGTAATTTAATTAATTATAGGAATGTTATAGTTGTTAAAGGACATTGCTAAACGATGGAATTCTAATAAAACGTTCGAATTTGAGTTAATAAAACTCACGTAAAACTTTCAATTGTGGTATCCATGGTGAAGTGTAAACGTTCTTTGGTAAACCAGGTGGTAACTCTTTGGGATTTGGAATCTTCATTAGAATATTTACTGGCGATATCCTTTCGAAAGATTTATAGAGTATATCGAGAATCTTTCTTGGAAATGATTCGATCTTGACCATCGAACCAAACGAAAAATAGACAAAACCATATTTACTCTCGTCACACCATTTCTGTAACTCCTGTAATACGGAATTAGAATAGAAATTAAAAGAAATGTTAATTCAACAAAAAAAACCTTTTTTCGTTAAGACACATTTGACACAGTGTTGTTTTACAATTAAATTTTTTTTTCTTACGTGGATAATAAATACGTTCTACTTACCGGTGATAATTTCGAACCGTCATCTTGAACATGTAATCCACCGACTTCTATGTAGGCCTGCGTTAAAGGTCTAATTCCGTCCAAAGTAAAATATGAGTTCATTAAAATTATGGAAATATTCTTTTCCAATTGTCGCACACTCGGTAAATTCGGACCGATGTACTTTCTTATTTGTTCATCTTGATATTTGGTAAAATAATTAATGTATATTTTACTGAAGACAGTGTATAGAAAGTTGTACGTTCGTTGCCAAAAGTTCATTGGACTGTTCAAGTGCAATAAATTATTGGGAAAGATGGCCAAATTTTGGGGATTTTCTAATAAAGAACTAAGCCATAAATAATTTGCAGTACTGACACCGATCACTGGTACATTGAAAAGGTGTCCGAATATAGCAAAACAGTGAGCAGCAAGAACCTAAGGCAATTAGAAAAAATAATCCAGTTACTAGGAATTCTTTCATATTATTATTTTCTAATGATCCGTTTTGTCTGGACAATTAGACTCTTGCAAATTATCAAATTATCATCTTCCGTATAAATATTTAAGTTTACGTAACTTATACGATTTTGCACAGAAAAAGGCGTGTGAACGCGATTCTCATCTTTATGTTCACCTTTAACTTATTATTCGCGTTGTTTTTTATCGAGATTATAAATTATCGTAACGTTAATTTATCATGTATAATTTTTGTTTTCTAATGCTATTATATGATTGGAAGCATACAAATTGGAAAGCTTACATAATATAAATCATAGTCAAGAATAGAACGTGATCAGTTTAACATTTAGTTTTTAAGTGATAGTGGAATTGTTAGTTTTTTTATCATTTTCACTATCACATTTTTCTTTAATTGCATTTAAATGCTTGCATTATTTAAAATACTTTGTGGAGATATGCAAACATTTGACATGTTGCGTAAAAAGATATAAATCTGTTAATATAATTTTAAGAAAAGTATGAAAAAAAGAAAAAAAGAAAAAAATGATAAACAAAAAAGTTGAAGGAATACCTCTATCAGAACTACGTCATAAGGTGGATCCTTCGGAGGATTGTGGATTAGTTTTTGGATTTTTGGATGTCCCAAGTATTCACAAAGCTGATAACCACCTATGGTTGAAATCGCATTTAACATTGGCAGTTTATTTGCGGTGTCGTACGAAACATTATTGACATATTCGATTCCTTTTGATAACACAGTTAAATCTGTATAATTGACGAATGATTTTTTCTGTGGGAACGGACTAATGACATCGACCTGATGACCCTTCTTAGCGAGACCTTTCATTAAACTTTCGAACATAATAAAATGACTTGTCAGTTTATGTGGAAATATTCCGAGGATTCTATAACCTTGGGATAACATAAGACACAAACTCATCCACAAAATAATATATTGTAAAACCTTCATTTTCTTTTGAATCTTTTTTTCTTCAATTCTACTTCGTTTTTCCTTGTATCTATCCTTATGCAATTTACCGTTGCTACTTTTTCCCGTAATATGAAATTTTTTAAATTCATTCGTCCGTTTATATATGCATACTTTGTCAAGAAAATAATATCACGAAATAATATTTAGCGTAACATTTTTCCTTCATTTATATGCATTTTCCATACTAAGATAGTACATTTACATATAATGATGTTTAAACGATATGGTAGATAGTTTTGTAAATGGTCAACATTTTAACTAAATATTTAAACTATCATGAATTTTTAAGGTTATCAGCAAAATATTTATATACATGGCAATTTCGTTTTATCTTTTTTTTGTTTTTCTTTTTGTTTTGTTTTTCTTTTTTTTTTTTTGTTTTTGCACAATCATCGTAATAACGGCATAATTACGTCAAAGTCAGTGAATGTATTTAAGACTATAGAGAATGAGCGTTAACGAGCGTTCTTGAAGAGTTACTATTAATGCATGTCACTAACGATCAACGAAGACCACGAATTTTAATGCATGCGATAATCATCTGTTAGAGACTTAACACTTTAAACTCATGGATCATGGATCATTTAACGACAAATATATCTTCGTTTTTCGTGGACTCATGCTCGAAATTATCCGAACTGTGAATATTGAGCTATTATCAATATATCGGAATCATTTTTTACACTAAATTGATAATGCAAAAGATTTAAGTGAATATGTCAATTTAAACGATTTAATCTATTTGATAACTTTTATTAAGAGAAAAAACAAAACATGACAATCGTAACTATTATATAGTAAACAGTATCATGTTTTGTATGGGTATATTGTACTTACTGACTGACTTAAGTTAGCTGGTTGGTATAGTGAGTCGTCTGTTGCCAAACGATTCCCTTAATATTTGGAATCGATGATTTCGATATGGATTTTTCTTTGATACAAAAATATGAATTATTATTGATATCTTTTCTATCATCGACAAAAAAATTGGGATACATAATTGAAGATAAATTTGGAAATAGTAAATATTAGAATATTTCTATTAGTCATCATAGATAAATCTTATTTTTTTTTTGAACAAGATCGTTTATCGATCTATAATTTATTCATACATTAATATCAGCGTGAAGTCGAATTAATCTTTCAAACATCACCACAAATTTATCATCAGTTGAATGTATTCATAGGAATAAATTCCAAATAAATTCATTTATGTTTTAAAAAATCATGAAATATTATATCCCGAAATCAGATTGTTATGACATCTTCTTCATGGGTGAAACGTTGATATTTGAGTTAGATAAAATTGTGCTCAGAAATATTTGAATTAATCGAATTGTTATGTAAATGAGGATAACTATAATCAACAATAAGAATGTATATACGTCTAAAAGATCGTTTTCCCACCAATTCAAGTCCATGGCCGGTGAACGGAGTGCGTCCCATCCGTATTTCACGATATATTCAATCCAATAATTAGCCGTATCGATTGCCTTCAATGGCCTATCCAAAAATTGTTGTGCAACTTTACGTGCGGCCTCCCTAAAAAATATATTGTTATCGTTATTCAGAGTTATCGTTGTTCGAAATAGAGATTGCATACTAATATGTCACATATATACAATTTGAGTTGTTAATGTATCGTGTTCTTTCTTCGAAAATAATATTTGAAGATATGTATATATATATATGTATAAGTTAAATATTTCTTTTGACTTTTTCCTTAGAAAAATTAAGAGGTAATTAAAGCTTTAATTGCTCATAGAAAGTTTGTACCTGTATGTGGAATTATTTAAGATTTCGTTCAATGCCGCGTCCATGTCATCTTGTGATAAATTTTTATAGTCTAGCTTTATTGCGATGTTCTTCTTAACATAATTAACGACATTTGAAAATTGGTCGCCGAAGATTGGTACTCCGATCATTGGAACGCCACATGAAATGGCTTCCTGTGTTCCCATAAGACCACCGTGAGTAATAAACGCCTTCGCATTCGGATGTTCTAAAAATATATTGGATACAATGATTGTGATTGGTGACATTGGATTGTGAGATACGATATAAACGTGAATATTTCACAATTTAATTTAATTAATTATAAAAATATTAAAATTTTTAAAGGATATTGCTAAAGAATGGGAATTCTGATAAAACATTTTGCGAAATTAAACTCACGTAAAACTTTCAATTGCGGTATCCATGGTGAAGTGTGAACGTTCTTTGGTAAACCAGGTGGTAACTCTTTGGGATTTGGAATCTTCATTAGAATATTTACTGGCGATATCCTTTCGAAAGATTTATAGAGTATATCGAGAATCTTTCTTGGAAATGATTCGATCTTGACCATCGAACCAAACGAAAAATAGACAAAACCATCTTTACTTTCGTCCAACCATTTTTGTAGCTCCTGTATTAAGAAATTAGAAATGAAATAAAATATATGTTAATTCAATAAAAAAAATCTTTTTTCGTTAAAACACATTTGACACAGTGTTGTTTTATAATTAGATTTTATTTTCTTACGTGGATGATAAATAGGTTCGACTTACAGGTGATAATTCCGTACCGTCATCTTGAACATGTAATCCACCGACTTCTATGTGGGCCTGCGTTAATGGTCTAATTCCGTCCATAGTAAAATATGAGTTCACCAGAATCATGGAAATATTCTTTTCCAATTGTCGTATACTTGGTAAATTCGGACCTACGTACTTTCTTATTTGTTCATCTTGATATTTGGTCAAATGATCGAAGTATATTTTGTTGTAGACAGTGTGTAGAAAGTTGTACGTTCGTTGCCAAAAGTTCATTGGAGTCTTAAAGTTCAATAAATTATTCGGCAAAATGCCCAAATTTTCGGGATTTCCGATATATTGATTTGCCCATGGATAGAGATTGCAAGTACTGACTCCGATCACTGGTACATTGAAAAGGTGTCCGAATATAGCAAAACAGTGAGCAGCAAGAACCTAAGGCAATTAGAAAAAATAATCCAGTTACTAGAAATTCTTTCATATTATTATTTTCTAATGATCGTTATGTTTGTACTATTAGACTTTGGCGAATTATCTCAGATTATTATCTTCTATGTAAATATTTTAATTTATCTAATTTAGACGATTTTACACAGAGAAAGACGTACGAATGCGTTTCTTGTCCTTACATTTATCTATAATTTATTATTCGCGATGATTTTTGTCGAGATTATAAATTATCCTAAAGTTAATTTATCTCACATATAATTTTTCTTTCCTAATGTTTACGGGTAGTCAAAAGCAAACAAATTGGAGAGCTTATAATGTGAATCATGGTCAAGGATAGAACGATTGTCAATTAAACAATTAATCGTTAAAATCTTGCTAAATTTTTTAATCTTTCCTCTGGTTTTTTTTTTCTTTTTTCTTTTTTTCTTTAGTCTCCGCGAACCTATTTCCTCTTATTATCTTTTTTGAACTTCATTGAAATGCATTGCGTCATTTGAATTGCCTCGTGGAAATGTGCTAACGTGTTCGACATGTCGCGTAAAAGATGTTAATTTGTCAATCTTATTTTACAATAGGATGAAAAGGTCAATTAAAAACAAAGAATGTAAACAAATACCTCCATCAGTACGACGTCATAAGGTGGATCCTTCGGAGGATTACGAATTAGTTTTTGAATTTTTGGATGTGCCAAGTTTTCACAAAGATTGTTACCAGCTATGTTTGATATCTTCTGCAAAATGGATATTTTATTTGCTAATTTGTATGATATGTTATTGACAACATTTATTTCCATTGGCACCACAATTAAATCGGTATAATTAACGAACGGTTTTTTCAATGGGTACGAACTAATCATATCGACCTGATGACCCTTCTTAACGAGTCCTTTACACAAATTTTCGAACATGACAAAATGACTCTTTCCGAGAAATGGAAAAATTCCAAGGATTCTATATCCCTGGGATAACGTAAGACACAAACTCATGCACAATATAATCCATAATAAAGTCTTCATTTTTCTTTAAATCTTTTTTTCTTCAATTTCTTCGTTTTTCCTTGTATCTTTTCTTATGGAATGTACCGTCGTTATTTCTTTCCGTTATATGACGTTTGTTTAATTCATTCATTCATTTATATATCAACATTTTGGAAACAAATGATAATATCAGAAAATGAAATGTATCTTCGTTTAAGTTAATTTATAAGTCAACTTTCAAGTTAATTTTTGCACTAAGGACGTTTTTTCTTCTCATTTATATTTATTTTTCAAACTAATACAATACATTTCCATAGTCTAGAATTTTAAAAACTGTGATAATGAAGTTTACTAATCGCGAGCATTTTAACAAGATATTTAAAATTTTACAAGTTTTTACGATTATCAGAAAAATATTTATATGTATGGTAATTTGGTTTTTGTTTCTGCACAATCATCGTAATAACGGCATAATTACGTCAAAGTCGGTGAATGTATTTAAGACTATAGAGAATGAGCGTTAACGAGCGTTCTTGAAGAGTTACTATTAATGCATGTCACTAACGATCAACGAAGACCACGAATTTTAATGCATGCGATAATCATCTGTTAGAGACTTAACACTTTAAACTCATGGATCATGGATCATTTAACGACAAATATATCTTCGTTTTTCGTGGACTCATGCTCGAAATTATCCGAACTGTGAATATTGAGCTATTATCAATATATCGGAATCATTTTTTACACTAAATTGATAATGCAAAAGATTTAAGTGAATATGTCAATTTAAACGATTTAATCTATTTGATAACTTTTATTAAGAGAAAAAACAAAACATGACAATCGTAACTATTATATAGTAAACAGTATCATGTTTTGTATGGGTATATTGTACTTACTGACTGACTTAAGTTAGCTGGTTGGTATAGTGAGTCGTCTGTTGCCAAACGATTCCCTTAATATTTGGAATCGATGATTTCGATATGGATTTTTCTTTGATACAAAAATATGAATTATTATTGATATCTTTTCTATCATCGACAAAAAAATTGGGATACATAATTGAAGATAAATTTGGAAATAGTAAATATTAGAATATTTCTATTAGTCATCATAGATAAATCTTATTTTTTTTTTGAACAAGATCGTTTATCGATCTATAATTTATTCATACATTAATATCAGCGTGAAGTCGAATTAATCTTTCAAACATCACCACAAATTTATCATCAGTTGAATGTATTCATAGGAATAAATTCCAAATAAATTCATTTATGTTTTAAAAAATCATGAAATATTATATCCCGAAATCAGATTGTTATGACATCTTCTTCATGGGTGAAACGTTGATATTTGAGTTAGATAAAATTGTGCTCAGAAATATTTGAATTAATCGAATTGTTATGTAAATGAGGATAACTATAATCAACAATAAGAATGTATATACGTCTAAAAGATCGTTTTCCCACCAATTCAAGTCCATGGCCGGTGAACGGAGTGCGTCCCATCCGTATTTCACGATATATTCAATCCAATAATTAGCCGTATCGATTGCCTTCAACGGCCTATCTATAAATTTTTGTGCGACTTTACGTGCGGCCTTCCTAAAAAATATAACGTTATCGTATATATTAAGAGTGTCTGAAACAATAAGTATATAATGATATGTTAATCATAAGTAGTTTCATATTTATTATTAGTACCGTGTAACATTTTTCAAAATAACATTCAGACATAACGCAAGAATATATCTTTATATACATATATACATATATATACGCTATATACTTGTTTTAGCTTTTCCTTGGAAATATTAAAAGGTAATTAACGCATTAACTTTTCGTAGAAAGTTTGTACCTGTATGTGGAATTATTTAAGATTTCGTTCAATGCCGCGTCCATGTCATCTTGCGATAAATTTTCATAGTCTAATTTTATTGCGATGTTCTTCTTAACATAATTAGCGACATTTGAAAATTGGTCGCCGAAGATTGGTACTCCGATCATTGGAACGCCACATGAAATGGCTTCCTGTGTTCCCATAAGACCACCATGAGTAATAAACGCCTTCGCATTCGGATGTTCTAAAAATATATTGGATACAATGATTGTGATTGGTGACATTGGATTGTGAGATACGATATAAACGTGAATATTTCTCAATTTAATTTAATTAATTATAAAAATATTATAATTTTTAAAGAATATTGCTAAAGAATGGGAATTCTGATAAAACATTTTGCGTAATTAAACTCACGTAAAACTTTCAATTGTGGTATCCACGGCAAAGTGTGAACGTTCTTTGGCAAACCAGGTGGTAACTCTTTGGGATTTGGAATCTTCATTAAAATATTTACTGGCGATATCCTTTCGAAAGATTTATAGAATATATCGAGAATCTTTCTTGGAAATGATTCGATCTTGATCATAGAACCAAATGTGAAATAGACAAAACCATCTTTGTTCTCGTCCAAACATTTCTGTAGCTCCTGTATTACGGAATTAGAAATGAAATAAAATATATGTTAATTCAATGAAAAAAATCTTTTTTCGTTAAGACACATTTGACACAGTGTTGTTTTATAATTAGATTTTATTTTCTTACGTGGATGATAAATACGTTCGACTTACAGGTGATAATTCCGAGCCGTCATCTTGTATATGCAATCCACCGACTTCTATGTGTGCCTGCGTTAATGGTCTAATTCCATTTAAAGTGAAATATGAGTTCACCAGAATCATAGAAATATTTTTTTCCAATTGTCGCACACTCGGTAAATTTGGACCGACGTACTTTCTTATTTGTTCATCTTGATATTTGGTCAAATGATCGAAGTATATTTTGTTGAAGACAGTGTGTAGAAAGTTGTACGTTCGTTGCCAAAAGTTCATTGGATTGTTAAAGTTTAATAAATTGTTCGGCAAAATGGCTAAATTTTCGGGATTTCCGATAATATGATTGTGCCATGGATAAAGAGTACACGAACTGATACCAATCACTGGTACGTTGAAAAGATGTCCGAATATGGCTAAACAATGAGCACCAAGAATCTATGGGAATTAGAAAAAAACAATTTAGTTATTATATTATTTTAGGGAGATTTTGTTTGCCAATTAGACTTTTCGAATTATCAGAAATCATATTCTCTGTTTATATATTTTAGTTTACGTTATTTATTATACGATCGTTTCCAAGAAAATACATGCGTAATGCAATTCTTATCCTCACTTTTATCATAAATTTATAATTCGTGATGATTTTAAAGGAGACATAATTAATTAACGTCGCATTAATTTATCACGCATGATTTTTCTTTTCATGATGCTTCTGGAATGTTAGAAAATAAACAAATACGTAAGTTTATAATGGAAGTCATGATAAAGTATAGTACATGATCAATTTAACGTTTAATCATTAACTACTGGCGGAATATTTATATGAAATTTTTAAATGAAAATTTTTCCTTTTTTCATCTTCCCTTTCATTATTTTTCTTGAATTGCATTGAAATGTATGCATCGTTGGAAACACTTTGTGAAAATATGCAAACGTTCGACATGTTGGGTAAAAGATATAAATCTGTTAATATAATTTTAGAAAAGTATGAGAAGAAAAAAAAATGAGAAACAAAAAATTTTAAGAGATACCTCTATCAGAACTACGTCATAGGGTGGATTCTTCGGAGGATTGTGGATTAGTTTTTGTATTTCTGGATGTGCCAGGTATTCACAAACATGATTACCACTTATGGTTGACACCGCATGTACTGTGAAGATTTTCCTTGCGACATCGTACGATACATTATTGACTGTATTTACTTGCGATTCTATCACAATTAAATCATTATAATTAACGTATGGCTTTTTCAATGGGAACGGACTAATGATATCGACCTGATGGCCATTCTTAGCTAGTCCTTTCATCAATGTTTCGAACATGACAAAATGACTTTTTCCATAGTATGGAAATATTCCAAGAATTCTATATCCCTGACAATACAACAAACATAAATCCATCCAAAATATAATGCATAGTGACACTTTCATTTTTCTTCGTATATATTTTTTCTTTTTCTTCCTGTATTCTCCTTTTCTTTTCGTTTTCCTTCTGCCGTTCTTTATTTCTTTTAAAATTCATATTTATTTTAACTCATGCGTTTATTTATATACCTTCGTATCAGTAACAATCGATAATGTCCAAAAAAAAAAAAGAAAAGGAAAGAAAAAGAAATATGTTAGCAAAATATTTATTTATCATTTATATTCATTTTTCGTATTAAAATACTACATTTCCGTATTTTAACTATTGAAAATTGATAGACGATTTTACAATTATCTGACGTCGTAGCATTTCATTTAAATATTTATACTTCCGTATATTTTTTTTACGATTATCATGAGAATATTTTTACATGTACGATAATTTGTATTTTTTATTTTTCTTTTTTCTTATTTTTTTTATTTTTTTTATTTTTTTTTTCTCTACAAACATCGCGATAACAGAATGATAATAATAACCAAAATGGTCGATGGATATATTTAGGATGTTAAATAGTAAACTGAAGCGAGCATTCTCGCGAGAAGTTAGTATTGATACAGTTAGTACTTGACGTTCAACTAAGATCACAAATTTTAACGCATTGAAAATCACATGTTAATAGAGTTAAACTCTTGGATCATAGATCGTTTATCGATAAATATATCTTCGAGAAGTTATCGAGGACTTACACTACGAAATTTAATTCAATGTGTGTGATTATTGTGCTATTATGAATAATATCATAGTAACATTTGATATCAAATTAATACCACAAAAGTTTTATGTGTATAAGTGAATATAAACGATTTGACCTAATTGATAACTTTTATTAATAGGAAAAACAAAAGATAACAGATATAACTATTATATAATAATATTATGATAGACGAGTACCAATTGGTACTACTTACTTATTAACTGTTAATACAAAATAATTATTATATTATATAGTAAACTATAGTGCACTTGATCTACAAGTATTACATGATCGTATTTATCAATTGATCTAGCTTTATCGATTGTACCGGTCTTACGTGAAATTTATTGATCGTCACCGTGTCTGATTAAAAAGCTATAACGATTTTTATTCGTTTCAATGGAAATAAGAAGATCCATCAGTTGCGAGCAACATTAATTCATTCATATTTATCGTTCTTAGTTAAAATATTATTTTTTAAAAAATATTAAAGAAGAGTCAGTGTGAGCCAGTGAAAGAATGAAAAATTTACAAGATGATTAAAAACGAAGGAAAAAAAAAAGAAAATACAAAAAAGAAAATGAAAGAGAAATTTGAATTGGGCTCAGGATAGTGCTTGCTGTGCTGGAATATATTAGAAATCAACGTGGAGATAGATTGAACTTCATTGTTATAATATTTCCTTTTTAAATATATTTTATAAACTAATTACTTTCTATTTTAATGATTGTGCTTGCAATAACAAACAATGTTCGTTTAATGACAATCGAAGTTTTTCGATATTCTTCATGTGGAATATTTTTTCGAAAAATTACTTTTCTTTTTTTTTTTTGTCATAAATAATATCAAATTTATAACTGTTATTTGTCCAATATTTTCTGCATTGTAGTGTCAACGTAAAAACGAGTTTTAAAAATTGAATTTAGAATGGGAAAAGTGATATAATTATTTTAACTAGTGATATATTATTATTAAAAAGTGATATATTATTCTTTTATTTTTATTGCGTAAAATATGATGATGATGATGATGATGATGATGATGATGATGGAAGTACTTATGATTGATATGTTTAACGAGAATGAAAACAATTTTGTTATTATCCGTAATACCATGTACGAAAAGTATACGTAGGAAAATCAATTTTTTTTTTTTTTTTTTTTTTTTTTTTTTTTTTTTTTTTTTTTTTTTTTTTTTTTTTTTTTTTTTTTTTTTTTTTTTTTTTTTTTTTTTTTTTTTTAAGAATATAAGATTAATATTTCCGTGACTTTGAATGTTTTCACGTAAAAACGTGGCCCATATTATAACTCGGTATCACTTCTGTGTGATAATCCAATTGGTCGATCGTTATTTAACATTTATATAATTTCATCTTACGTATTTTATTTCGAATCTTTTTTTTTTTTTTTTTTTTTTTTTTTTTTTTTTTTAATTAGTAATCGATCGATCATTTCAATACACACTTTTGTTTTGTATTGAAATAAGAATCACCATTTATACATTTCGTAATTTTTCTCATGTTTCGTTTTATCAATGAAAAATTACAAATCAACGACTCGGAAAAATATCGATATATCGAATATTTATATTATAAATCAATCGTTAAATATTAAATTTGTTTAATAAATTCATTATAATTAGAAGTTACATTTTTCATTACAAATTTTGCAAAGAAACTTTTGTGAAAAAAAAAAAAAAAAAAACAGCTTTTATTCTTTTCATTACGTTTTAACAATTATAACTTATCGTAAAAATTACGAGAATGTTCGTCATTTCTTATATCGATTAAAAAAAAAAAAAAAAAAAAAAAAAAAAAATTGAGATACATAAACAAAGATAAATTTGAAAGTAAATAGAATATTCAAATATTTCTATGAGTCGTCGTCATAGATTATTTAAACAAGATTCTTATTTTTTTTTTTAAACTAGAGTCAGCTTATCGATTTATAATTTTTTTCATACATTGATATCGACATAAAGTTAAATTATTAATTAAATTATATATTTTGATATGTACAAAATTCAAAGAAATTCATCTACATGGATTCATCTAATTCGAAATCAAATTGTTATGACATTTTCTTTACGCGTGAAACATTGACGTTTGCGTTAGATAAAACCATGTTCCGAAGTATTTGAATTAAACGAATTGTTATGTAAACGGTGAAAACTGTAACAAGAATTAGAAATGCATATACATCTAAAAGAGCTATTTCCCACCAATTTAAATCTATGACCGGTGAACGGAGCGCATCCGGTCCATATTTCACGACAAAATCAATCCAATAATTAGCTACGTCGATTGGTTTCAATGGCCTATCCGAAAATTTCTTTCCTATTATACGTGCCGTCTCCCTAAAAAAAAAATATATATATATATAATTTGAGTTGATAGAATAACATGATCCATGTTTCAAAAAAATATTCAAAATCAATAATGATTCGTACCTGTAAGTGGAATTATACAAGATGGCGTTCAATGCGGCGTCCATAGAATCTTCCGACAAATTTTCGCAATCCAATTTTATTGCAATCTTTTTTTCCACATAGTTATCGATATTTATAAATTGATCAGCGAATAAAGGTATTCCGATCATTGGAACGCCGCAAGAAATGGCCTCCTGTGTTCCCATAAGACCACCATGAGTAATAAATGCTTTCACGTTCCGATGTTCTAAAAAAAATATATATATATATATATTCGATATAATGATTATTCTCCCTTAATTAAGAGATACGATATATTAACGTGAAAATTTTTGAATGTAATTTAATTAATTATAGAAATGTTATAGTTGTTAAAGGACATTACTAAAGTACGTAATTCTGATAAAATATTCGAATGTTTCATTTTGCGTAATTAAACTCACGTAAAACTTTCAATTGCGGTATCCATGGTGAAGTGTGAACGTTCTTTGGTAAACCAGGTGGTAACTCTTTGGGATTTGGAATCTTCATTAGAATTTTTACTGGCGATATCTTTTCGAAAGATTTATAGAATATATCGAGAATCTTTCTTGGAAATGATTCGATCTTGACCATCGAACCAAACGAAAAATAGACAAAACCATCTTTACTTTCGTCCAACCATTTTTGTAGCTCCTGTATTAAGAAATTAGAAATGAAATAAAATATATGTTAATTCAATAAAAAAAATCTTTTTTCGTTAAAACACATTTGACACAGTGTTGTTTTATAATTAGATTTTCTTTTCTTACGTGGATGATAAATACGTTCGACTTACAGGTGATAATTCCGAGCCGTCATCTTGTATATGCAATCCACCGACTTCTATGTGTGCCTGCGTTAATGGTCTAATTCCATTTAAAGTGAAATATGAGTTCACCAGAATCATAGAAATATTCTTTTCCAATTGTCGTACACTCGGTAAATTCGGACCGACGTACTTTCTTATTTGTTCATCTTGATATTTGGTCAAATGATCGAAGTATATTTTGTTGAAGACAGTGTGTAGAAAGTTGTACGTTCGTTGCCAAAAGTTCATTGGAGTCTTAAAGTTCAATAAATTATTCGGCAAAATGCCCAAATTTTCGGGATTTCCGATAATATGATTGTGCCATGGATAAAGAGCAGACGAACTGACACCGATCACTGGTACGTTGAAAAGATGTCCGAATATGGCAAAACAAGGAGCACCAAAAATCTATGGCAATTAGAAAAAAGAAAAAAAAAAAACAATTCAATTATTATAAAATCTTTCATATTATTATTTTATGATCCTTTTGTTTTGTCGATTTGATTTTTCGAATTATCAGAATTTACCTTCTTTGGATATATATATATATATATATATATATATATATATATATTTCTTTTTTTGGTCAACTAATTCCATTCTCACTATTATTCATTTCTTATTATTATTCGTAAAATTATTTGTCTAGGAAAAATTGTTCGAAATGATAATTTAATTCGTTAATTTATCGCGTACGATTTTTTATTCTTGAATTATCTTAGAAAATTTTTTAATGCAATTATGATGGATTGTACGTGTTCAATTTATAAACTAAACGTACTTCCAAAATTCCAGCTTTCTTTTTCTTTTTCTTTGTTTCTTTTTTTTTTTTTTTTTTTGGTTTTGTTTTTCCCCCATTTTCTCTAACGTTTTGTTATAGAAGCTCGTCATAAAAGAACTATTGCATAAATATATGTAGATGGGAAAACGTAGATAGGATAGTGAGGAGGTTTTCCTCACATGTTATAAATATCGTTATATTTTATAAAAATAAAAAGGATGATAAAATGAGCTAAATGTATATGTATTTTATGATAGAAAGAGAAAAAAAAGAAAATGGACTGATAAATAAAGATAATATACCTCTATGAAAATGATATCGTAAGGTTCCTTTTTCGGTGGATCGTGTATTAATTTTTGGATTTGTGGATTCGCCAAGTGTTCACAAAGTTGATTACCAGAAATAATTGATACCATGTACAACGGTTTATGCAACATAATTGTCTTCATAGTATCGTACGTTATATTATTGATAAATGTCATTTGCGATTTTAATACAACTAAATCGGTATAATTAACAAACGACTTTTTTAATGGAAACGTACTGATTACGTCAATCTTATGGCCCTTTTTAACGAGACCTTTCATCAATCCTTCGAACATATTAAAGTGACTCTTTACGCTGATTGGAAAAATTCCGAGTATTCGATAACCCTGAATTAACGTGAGACACAAAGCCATGAAAAAAATAATCCACCGTAACAATTTCATTTCACTTCGAATCTTTTCTTTATTTCTTTTTTCCCTTCGTTTCCTTTTTATTAGTTTCTTTTACTTTTCCTCTTTTCTCTTCCGTTTCCAAACTCCTTTTGTCACTTCTTTCTTCTACGATATTTCAGTTTAATTCATTAGTTCACTTGTTTATATATATATATATATATATATATATATATATATATGTATATATATATATATATATATATGCAAACACGGAAATAAAAATTCTGTTAATGATGTCATAGTTCGATAGCAAGTTTATCGTGTGCATCAATGACTGTGTAAATTTTGTTAAAATAAAAGTTAAAATTCTAGAAAAAAAATTAAGTTTCAAACGTTGTTGCATATATGCATATATAAATATTAATATTTTGCTATTTTTCGTTTCTTTCATTTTTTCTCTTTTTTAAGTCCTTTTTTTTTTTTCAAAAGGAGAAAGTATCAATGGCGTTTCAGCGGGACTATATTAATTATTATTATCTCACACTAACTATCAGGATCGAAGAATTTTACGTATTTTCAATGTTTTACTAAAAATGTTCACTGAAAACTGTTTGAATAGTCGATCGTTTAGAATGAAGAAACTAATCTTTTTTTTTTTTTTCTTTCTTTCTTTTCTTTTTTTTCTTTTTTTTTTGTAAGTTATGCATTATTGTTGTCTAAAAGGAAGTATGTGTACTTTGAATAGATATAATGACATACGTAAGAACGAATTTCATTAACCGAATGATAAGAGAAAAAAAAAAAAAATAAAAAAAACGAATGCGGAAGAATTTGGAAAGCGAAAATGTTTTTGACGTATCTTTAAGTCTTTTTTTCCTGCTTTTGACCAGTCTGACCTAAACGATAATTATCGATTTCCTCATACTTTACGTTTTTTCTTGATTACAAAATCAATAGATATATGTATAATCATACATAGAGATATATATTTAAATATGTAATATTATTGAGCATTAATAAGTCATATTATTATTTAGTATTAAATTAATTTATATGTTATTAAATTCATTGTCGATGTTATATTATAAACATACGTTCGTAAATTTGATACTGTAGTAATCATTGATTTATTATTATTGTTATTATTATCCTAATATAGTCTGACATAAGTGGATCACGTAAAACGTTTAATAAATGTTATGTATATCATACATCGTCAGAAGTGAGAATGAAGTAATGTTTAAATAGATTTTTGATACATCTTTCCTTTTTTTTCTTTTTTTTTTTTCTTTTTTCTTTTTTTCTTCCCCCATTCTAACCCTTTTCCTTTTTTCCTTTTCCTTTTCTTTTTCTTTTACTTTTTTTACTTTTACTTTACTTTACTTTTTTCTTTCTTCTTCCTCTTCTTCATCCTCCTTTTATTTGCGATCGATTCATTACAATCAATTTTTATTATCTTTCATAGGTTTCAATTGATAAAGAAATTTCTTTTTTTTTTTTTAAACGTCGTTTACAACGTTACGAACGTCTTACATAATTATTTTTATTCGTCGTCTTAAAAAAAAAAAAAAATTGAATTCATTGAATTATTATATTAAAGTAAGTCGATCGTTTTAACGAGATAATTACTTTTTAAATCTTGCGAATCGTACGTTTTATAATGGCGGTCAGGGATTTAATGGCGAGAAAATATTTCAGAGGGTGATTATATTACGTTAGCTATGATGTGTAAAATAAATATGCGTATCCACTTGTTGCGTATTTATCCTCGGTATCATCGTTTCATCAATTTACGGCATTAACGTATAAGAAAGAGAATAAAGGGCAACTCGTATGCTTCGTTTTTATACAGATATATATATATGTGTTTGTGTGTGTGTGTGTGTGTGTGTGTTACGATGATAACCAAAGATAATTGTCAACTTTAATAATTAATCGTCAAAGTAAACAATGATATTTAATAATGATATGATATGATATGATATGATATGATATGATATGATATGATATATATATATATATATATATATATATATATATATATATATAAAACAAGTTGATATGTATCTTTAAGAGATTTTTCTTTTCGATATTGTCCTTCACTAATATTTATCTTTTGTTTATTTCACTTGGTTATATATATATATATATATATATATATATATATATATATATATATATATATCGAATAGTTCTTTTATCTTTATTTTTTTTCCTTTTTTTTTTTTTTGTCAACTTAAACAAAATCGTCAACGAAAATAATTGTACTAATAACTTAATGAACGCTTTAAAATGATTTTTCGAGAAAATTTTAACGAGACTGAATGAGAAGGACTGAACCGATTTATTTCGCATATAATATATATCACTTACGAAAAAAATCGAAAATGTATTACACAATCTCGAGATTATTTTAATGGGAGATATAAATTTATGATTTGATGATCGAAAGAGTTTAATTAATTTTAACAAATGAAAATTGAACCATTACGATTTCGTTTGTTTTCGTATTTTTCTCCCTATCTTTTCTCTCTCTCTCTCTTCTCTCTCTCTTTTTCTCTCTTTCATAGAATTGATTTTTCTCGCGATATCAATTTTCCTTTGAAAATTTTACCATTGAAAATTGAAAGAGACGTGCGAACGGTTCCGACGTTGTTGCGAGGATGTAAAAGCAAAAACGTGCTCGTAGGTTTTATTTTACAAAGGTAACGAGAAAGAGGATTGAAAAAAAAGGGAAAGGATTGGGAAGGAGGGCGGAGGCGGAAAGGGAGAGAGAGGGGAAATAAAAGAGAGAGAGAGAGAGAAACGAAAAAAAAATAAAGCAACGAAGGAGCAAAAAAAAAAAATTACATATGTATAATATTTACGTACCTCTATCAAAATGACATCGTACGGTGGATTTTTCGGAGGATTTCGTAATAATTTTTGAATTTCTGGACGTCCCAAATATTCACAAACTTCAATACCACCCATGTTAGCAATCGCTTTTACCGGAAGAACGGTTAGTAACGTCTTCATCTGTTCGTACGATATATTATTGACCAATTTCATTTGCGGTGTTATCACAACCAATTCTGTAATATTAACGAATGGCTTTTTCAAATGAAACGAAGTTATCGCGTCAATTTGATGACCCTTATTAGCAAGATTCTTCATCAATGCTTCGAACATGACAAAATGACTTTTTGCTTGAAATGCAAAAATTCCAAGTATTCGATATCCCTGAGAATACGTCAGAAACAATGTCATCCAAATAATAATATACCGTAACGCTTTCATTTTCTTTTTTTTTTTGTTTTTTTTTTTTCACCCTCGTATCTCTTTTTCCTCACTCTCCTTCTTTTTTCTTTTTCCCTTTTCTTTTTCTTCTTTCTCCTTTATTTCCCACCGAATCTCCTCCTCTTCCTTTCACCCTTTCCCTTCACTCTCGTTTGCAAATTTCTTCGGTTACGTCTAATCAATATTATTTAACTCAACTCTGCATTCATTTCGTTTTATATACATACATACGTATCGGAAACATGCAATAGCAAATGACGTAAAGTTCAGAAATCAACAGTAACTACCTAATTATAGTTCTGTATCTGTTTTTCTCTTCCTCTCTCTCTCTCTCTCTCTCTCTTTCTCTCTCTCTCTCTCTCTCTCTATCTATCTATCTCTCGCTTTTTCTTTTTCGTTTCCGTTTCCGTTTTCTTTTGGCCTTTTCCTTCTTCTTTTCTTTTCTTTTTTTTTCTTTTTTTTTTCCTTTTTTTACTTTTATTTTTTTTTCATATAATCATTCAAAATTAATTCCACCCATGTCAATTAAAATATTCTCTATTTTTTTTTCTTTTTTTTTTCTTTTTTTTTTTCTTTTCCTTTAAATTAAGAAATATGATTTTAAAAATGTTCCAAATTTCGATCCAACAAGGTACCTTTATAATAACGATAATATTGTAATTTAGTTTTTAGAGAAAACGATATTAATTATTAAATGTTACGTTAGTACTTGGTATATTATTTTTTTCTCTCTCTTATTACTCTTTGCCAAAGCATCGTGATTGAGATTAATTATACAAATTTAATATTAAACACGATTTCGTTCTTGATATCTTTCAATGATATTAGAAAATAATATTATAAACGATATCGTTCACTTTGATTACATTGATGTTTTATTTTCAATATCCGTGATATTTCAATGATGTGAACAAAATTTTCAGATATTGACGATCTTCTTGTAGAAGATGCAACTGCAAACTGAAGAATCGTTTATACTTGACAGATAGAAATCTTCAATTTTTATTTTGTGAGTCATGTTCTGACGTTATCGAATAGATGTATCACGAGTTTTCATTACTAGTGTACGTTCATTATCTGTTATTTGATATTAAATAACCAATATTCGTATTAACATAGTTGAATTTCTCAATGAATTTATATGAATTTGTAAAGATGATATTGCATTATCTCTCTCTCTCTTTTTCTCTTTTTATTTCCCTCTCATTATCCTTCCAATTAGCGGTATACCTATTGTATTACATCCTCGCTTCTTAAATTCTGAAAGTATATTTCAAAAAAAAAAAAAAAAAAAAAAAAAAAAAAAATAAAGAAGACCTATATATTAGAATGATGCTTTTTTTTTTTTATTTTTCATTTTCATTTCCTTTTCTTTTCTTTTCTTTTTCTAAATAAATTTTTACAGGATATAATTCTGTGCATTTCAAATGTTCTAATGTTAAATTGTTCAGAAGTCGAGCTCCGTTTAAATAAAAACAGAACTTACTATCGCGTATTAATGATTTTACAGTTTCTTATTTTACACGTAGATCTTTATATATTATTAAAGAAAAAGAAAAAGAAAGAAAAAGAAAAAAAAAAAAAAAGATAAAGATGTAGAAAAATAAACGAGTATAATTTATAATATCTCTACTCATAGAAATTATTTGATTCATTAATCGGTTAATCATTTGATCGATTAATGTCAACGTTTTCATTATTTTATATCTAAATGAATAACATTAAGTATTATTTATTGAATATTTCTATGTGATCAATGATTTCTCTTCTCCTTTTTTTTTTTTTCTTTTTTTTTGTTTTTTTTTTGTTTTTCTTCCTTTGTATACTGCACTTGTGCGAAAAATTGAATAATAATAATAACAACGTTAGAACATGTATAAGATATAAAAAAATTTATGCAGTATAAAAATACTATGCACATTTGTAAAACACTATATATATTCGTTTCTTTTTCTTTTTTCTTCTCCACTTTAGATATACAATTATAAAGGGTGTCATTATGAAAAAAAAAAAAAAAAAAAAAAAAAAAAAAAAAAAAAAAAAAAAAAAAAAAAAAAAAAGCAAGAAAAAAAATAAACAAAAAATGTTGAAATCATTCGTTATAAGAAGCATCGGACAATAAATCAAATGGGGTTTTGAACGTAAAGTAAATCTTTCTATTACGTTCAATAGATTATCTAACTGTCGTTTGTTTGTAATTGAAAATGAAAATTTTCCAACGCGTCCAGTTTATATTATAAGTGAGAAAAATTGTAAAACGATATGATAACTCTTATATTAATTCTTTTTATCTACGTTTATTATCCTATCCGATTAAATTTCTTTTAATTGGTAATATTATCTTATGTTTCTTTATCTTTTTTAATGTTTTATTTCTTCTTCTTCTTCTTCTTCTTCTTCTTGTTTTTTTTTCTCTCTTCCTTTTTTCATTCATTCATTATGTAAACAAATAAATATTTGAAACTATAAATATCCAAGTAAAGTACGCATTTAGCTTATTTATTTACGTTAGTTTAATATTACACATCGAATGAATTTGAATTCGAATTCTCTTATGAACGTGACGATGATGTACCAAATTATTATGTAATTCGATTTCTTCGTTACAACCTTCTTTCATTCGATTCATAAGAAACATCTTTGATATAACGTCGCTTCTGCATATCATACAGAATGTGTAATTGAGATAGAAATTAGAAACAAAAAAAAAAAAAAAAAAAAAAAAAATTATACACGAAGAGTTAATTATATGTTGACGTAAGTTCATTGATTTAACATCTTGTCGTACGATCTTCTTTTAATTATAACTTCGATACAAAATGATTTTGTTACTTTACATTTTTCCTTTTTCATCCTCTTTTCATCGCAACTTTAAGTGTCATGAATATTTTGAAAATTGTATTGTCATTATTATTATTTCGTATTAATAAATAATAAATAAGATTTCGTCAGAGGATAGTTAGGTGGCAAAAAAAAAAAGAAAAAAAAGAAAAAAAAGAAAAAAAAAAAAAAAAGTAATTCCTTTCTTTAGTTATTTTATTTCTTTTTATTTTGAAATGACGTACGTAAGAACGACCTTTGAACTTTTACGAAAGCTTTCGCGTGACACTGAGACGTACGTGCGTGGAATCATTATTACCTTACGAAACGGACTTCCGGATGGCTTCTCAACGTCGGCAGAGTGCTCGCTCTGCGTGAATCTCGAAATTGCAATTGCATAGATAACGCCTGGGAATACGTATATTGAATGGTAAAGGAGAACGCTTGCGCGTTCGGTTAGAACCGATATCCTAAGATAAATTGATTTTATAATGATGACTATCTAATAAACAAGAGATCGAACAATAAATAATTCACGTTCTAATATTATTTGATCATACTACACGATGACGATTGGTTCTGCGTATCATTATTTTTCAACTTATAAGTATCATGTTATCTTTATCTAATATAACTTTTTTTTTATGATTTACGTAAAACAAATTAAGCGAATAGTGTCAATTGCATTGGTCAATATGTAATGTGAAAACTTTTGTGTGGGTATTTTATTTGCACGTAAAAGAATAACATTAGTAATTTTGTCTTTTTCCTCTTTTTTTTTCTTTTTTTTTCTTTTTTATTTTTTTTTTTATTTTTTTAAGTGTTTAGTGTACTTCGTATCGATATAAATAATATACTTTTATCGTATTTCTCATTGAATGAACGTTCGATATTTATACATCTAAATGAACTACGTTATGGAATACATTTTTTTTATATTGAGAGAAAGAACATAAAAATAAATTGTATATCTCAGTATTGTTTTTATTAAGAATAAATTTTTAATATTTTTTTTTCTATCTAAATGAACAAACGTTAAATTTTTTTTTTTTTTTTTTTCTTCATTGGATTAATTCTATTTACTGGCCAAGCGAAATATAATTCATAAAGATAATATATATATATATATATATATATATATATTATATATCTCCTAGATATTTCATAAATCGAATTGTTATCTTCAATAACATGAAATTACAAAAAGTCATTTTTCTTTTATCATTCTAGAGCCCTTCTGTCCTACGACATTTGATGGATGGTCCTGTTGGCCGGACACACCAGCCGGATCTACCGCTTACATTCCTTGTCCCGATTTCATTACAGGATTCGATGCATCGTGTAAGTAACCTTTAATCCACATTTCTAATACATTTTTATACTTACATAATTCTATATGATAGAAAATATTTATAGATATTATCAATCAATTAATATCTAATATTATTATTATTTTTATATATATATATAAAATTGAATTAGACGAAGAATATCTGTTGTAATATTTTTTTTTTTTATTTTCTTTCGATGAGAGGGAGGGGGAGGGAAAAGGGAGATAGGGAAGAGGATTATATATAGAGAATAAATATAAACCAATGGCAAAACGTGCAAAGTTCTTTTTAATAAGATAACATACGTTCTTGCGTGCGCATCATATAAAAAAGTAATAAACAAATTTATCAATAAGCATAACAATAAATGAAAGCGTAAGAAGAAGAAGATAAGAAAAATAACAAGAAAAAAATAAATCGTATAAAAATATCACTCTACTTTTTATTCACGCTTGTTGTTACTATTAATTATTTACATAGCTATACGATGAATAAAAATATGATTTATTGTAATGATTTTACAGTGATTGATTAGAGAGAAAGAGAAAGAGAGAGAGAAAGAGAGAGAGAGAGAGAGAGAGAAAATGAAAACAATAAAAAAATGATGAGTCTGTTAATGAATAACGCATTAGGCGATACTAATATGACAAATTTTGTACTTAAGGACGATAATTTATATAATATCTTTTAAAGAAATTGATGAATTTACACGCGCGCGTGTGTGTATATATATATATGAGCTTTTGTATGTATGTAATGTGCGTGCTTATGTATATAGAAAAATATGTATCTAACGTCGCAATATGTAGATATTTCCTTAATGTATTAAAAAATGAAAATTAAAAATTATTAATTAAGTTTTTATTGATCAACGGTGCAACTGTAAAAACCAACTGCATTGATCTTCGTATAAAGTATACTTCTAATCGTAGCATTATTACTATTACGAAGTATATTTACCAATGCATCGTATTTTGGAACGTTGGTCGGTATTTTGATGATCGGCAAAGTCGACACTGCGACCAATTGAGCATAAATGGATGGACATTCGATCAGATTTTCTATTACGATTAATTTCATTTCCTCGAGATTATCAATACGAATGATAGCAAAGAAATGTTGTAGGGCATCGATTATACTTGTAGGATAAAGGGGACTATACTCGCAAACCAATTTCGGTATTTTATCGCACAATTTCAACGCGAATACATATGGTTCGTTCGATTCTACATATTCCTTCGTTATTATCAACAAAAAGTATGAAGTAATATCCATTTCGGGTGTCAAACATTCATTGAATAATTTCAAAGTTCCATTGATTATTCTTAAATCGTATTGATTGTCACTCAATAGATGGGAAATTATATCGTGTATTATAACGCGTAATGTATAATTAACGGGATAGAAATGTGACCTCTTAGGATGCGGCATATTCCAACCAATTTTGACGGCATTGAAAAAGATACGCATCAAAATGTCGAATCTCGATTCGAGCTTGTCCTTCCTCAATAAAAGATATTTGTTCACGGTAAATATTCTAAATGTATCTTGCATAACGTAATCAGAATCGAATAGATATTTCTCGATGATCTTCTCGCAATAATCATCCGGTAAAATATTAGCCGTAGCCTCATCTATTTTACCGAAAATAGTTTCTATGTACCATTTTATCGTACGATCATCGACACCATCCATCTGAACAATGGCGTTTTCCGCCATTTTTATGATCATACGAATGAAATCAGATATATATTCCGTGGGAATATTCGTCATTGGATTAATCAGATGTTTACAATTTTGCCAATCTTCCAATTTAAATTCGCTTATGCATTTTTTCAATGTCGACCAGGTAATCGGTCCAGGTTCCTTTTTGAACATATCAAAAGTTTTCGTTATTATAATCTCCCGAATCGAATAATGTTTTTCCTCTTTCAATTGTGACAAAAGAAAATCCGAACTATTTTGAAGCGTTTCAATTCTACAGACTAATCTTATTCCGTGTTTCTTAACTGAGACACGTTTATCGGTTAAATCTTTAGCGAACGATTTAATTTTGTTTATCGACGTTCGATCGCATACATTTGTTATAACCTGTAAAGCCGTCAACAGGTAATCACTTTCGCATATTCTAGCGATTATTTCAATCGGTACAGGCGGATCAGACAGAAGTATACCCCTCAAAGCGTTTATCAATAGTTTGTATCTGTTATTGGCATCGTTCGGTTCAATGTCGATAGTTTTTTCTTTAGGTATATACGGATCGATGATTTTCGCATATGTTTTCCCATAAAGAAGCACACCTAAAAATTGTAAATAATAAAATTTATTCTCATCCTTTAGACGTCTCATAGCCTCCTTCGCAAATTTAATCGGTATATCCTTGTACCAACGGCTTGTAGTAATGAAACGTTTCATCGTTCTAACGCGCGTACTTATCTCACAATTGTCCAAATAATTGGAAAAACGTTTCAATACAAATTCCGGATTCCTTTTCAATTGTGCCAGAGCATTTCCAGAATCAATATCCCCGGCAATTTCTTCCTCTATCATCCACAATTTGTAAAGATCTTCATCGTTCTTCAAAAACCTTTTAATATCTTTAACGAGATAGCTATCGATTGGCGGTACATTGGTTATTATTGATCGTACCTGTTCTATAAGCCATGGATAATTTTTCAATGACAATTTTCCCCATTTTGTATTCTTTCCTACTGCATGCCGTACATTGTAATTATTAATGGCAAGTAAAAGATCCTTTGTCACGGTTAACTTGTTCTCTTTCTCCCAATTAGGATCTTTCATCTCAAATTTCTTTACTATTATTTTGACGATACTATCGAAACATCTTCGTTGATATTCAGCGTCATCGTTAAATATGATCCACCTGTCCTCCCAATTTTGTAATTCTACATCGACGAAGATATTTAATATTTTTTCCAATGGCATATCATTCATCATTCGAAAACGAATTGCTGATTCCAATAGAAATTTGTTCTTCGACGAATAAAACCCACATAAATAATCCATAACGTAATTCCTTTCGATAATTTCATTGATGATAATCCAATGCCTTTTGCTCAATTTCGATAGATCGTAAATATTACGAAATTCTTCAAATAAAGAAGCCCAAAAATTAGCGTCCTCGTTTTTGTGCCTTACATTGATATATTCTAACGTTTTAAATAATGCCTCGTCGTCCTGATTTATCTTACAGGAATAAATTATCTGCATTATCAATGCTACTCTGTCCGCGGTATATTTGGTCTTATTTATTTCGCTTATGATCGTAGGAATTACCTCGTCCGTCGGTAAATAACACCTCCATACACATTTGTAATTCGTTTCGTATGTGCAATCGGTCGACTTTTGCGATTTCAACCGACGGGCCTCTGTTATTCGTTGATCGGTCGGCAAAATACAAAGTAAACTATCCGTGACGTTGGTTAGATCATCGAACAAGTTCTTCTTATAAACGTCCTTGTAGGATTTTAAAAAGAGCATCGCTTTTTTCTCATCTGGATAATACTCGAGATACTTTAACATTTGATTTGTATTAAATTTGCTTCTATCCTTTGGCATTAATTTCGGGAATATAATATCCATACGGTCGGAGTCTATCAGTTTGAGGGGCAATATATTTATAAATAACTTTGGCTTCTCTAGGAACTTTTGTGTAGCGTTTTTAAGGAACATATCGGCACACTTAACCTTAAGCTTAATCACCGGTGGATTAGTTTCGTATCTTTCAAAAATCTCGATGAAATCTTTCAGATTATATTTTATTAACGACGGTAAAAAGTCTATATATTTGTGAACGGATACCTTGTAAGTATTACGAAACAAGGGATCGTCCATTGGCTGATCGAGTTTCAAATAACGTATTACAAGATTCGGTTTGGTTAAGTACCATTTTTTCAATACATTACTCGAAACTACAATTCTATGACGAACTACGATATCGTATATGAATGATTCGCTGCAATTACGTAATAAAATTATCGATTGATCTATGCCATAAGCTTTCGATAATGCCATAAAAAATTTTTCGGCCAATTTAGGACGATTCCTTCCCAAATGACACGATAAACTCTTTATAATTCGTGCTCTAATTTTCAAGGACACGTAAGGCAAGATGTTTTCAAAGAAAAAATCAACGTTTACTATTTTCTTATTACGTCCGTCGAAATACCAACGTGCTTTGAGTGCTTTTGATACTACAAACATATCGTCTGATTTTAATGCCTCCGTAACGACATCGTACTTCTTTAACATATTCCCAGCAATTATTTTTACAAGCGGTATCAATGGCTGACCTATAATATTCGTCCAGATATTCAAATCGAATTCCGTACCCTCAACTTTGATACGATCTTTTATCATTTTCGATATCCATCGATATTTTTCGGTAGGCGTGTCACCTGGAATCGCTTGAATCGCTTCGAGATAAGGCGTCATTAAACTCATAGTGATTATTTTTCTAGAGAACAGAAAATAAAAATTTCAAATTATTATACTATTCTTTAATACAATTTAGATACACGCATTATGTATTTATTTATTTATTTATTTATTTATTTATATACGCATCATCACTCGTTGTCTGTAAAATGAAACAATGTAATACCTTATTTGTTTGTTCCTCGAAATTGATCCTTTTTATTTCGTTCTTCTTTACGATCGATATTTTATCCGTCTATATCTAATTGCCGGTTACAATTCCTTCTAACGGTTACGATTTCTAAAGCCACCTTCGACATTCAAGCGATCACAAAGGAACGTCTTTCATGAACGTCTTATCGACGATTATTATAAACATTGCAACAAGAGGGACGTTAGACTTCTAGTTTGATTATAAAAAATAATTCACGAGATCAGTGATATATATATATATGTGTGTGTGTGTGTATATATATATAACTTTCGGATTTCTTCTTAAAAAAAAATAAGGAAAAAGAAAAAAATTATAAAAAAAAAAATAAACTAATAATAATGAAACACGTGTATACGCGTATCGCTTTCTTCTTGAAATTCTTGTTGAATAGTTCGTTAACGAGTAGTGTTGTTATTATTATTACGAATCTCGTCGATGACTAATTATAGACGTCACTTGTCGTTCGACCTTGTCGTCTATTCCTTTCGCGATAATAGAAGAAAAATATTTACTGAAGCCACTGATATTTGTACGACCGAAATTATTTCCTTTTTCATTTCACAAAGTCCTCATCTTTAAGTATACAAATGAAAAATTGTAACGATTTATCGATTAATTTATTAATATTAATTTATTATCTTTTATAATGAAAATCTTACCAAAGATCAAGAACAATAACTCTAATAAAATATACCGGCGTTGAACTAAACGTAACTAAACGAGATAGAATACGTACGTGTCAGTCTATTCGCGATTCCATCGACTAAATGCGATTGAAGCGACACAGTGGTTCTTTTCTGTACTAACTTATTATCTATAACTAAACGGATTAGCCATTAGGCGAGTAGCGTTTACTTGAATGTTATCAACCACGTTACCTTATTACTCTCTGTACGTCATACGTATATATATATATATCTATGCGTGTTTGTGTGTCTTATTTACATGCAATTTTCAATGTGATCACATTTCTTTCTTTTCTTTTGCTTTTCTTTTGTTTTTCTCGTCAATCAATTTCTTCAAATCATCTTAAAATATTTGGTCATCATTATTACTTTCATTACTTTCTTCCTTCTCTTATTCTTATCTTTTTTTTTTTTTTTTTTTTTTTTTTTTTTTTTTTTTTTTTTTAACAAACATCTACACAATGATTAGATTTTTATTGAGCAAGATCACACGTTATAAAAAAAATACAGCTGGTATATTTATAACAAATTACAAATATTACAACAATAATAATAATGTAATAATGATAAGATTCTAAGAAAGAAGAAGGAAGGGAGAGAGAAAGTTAGTCGGATTAAAAACAATGTAAAAATTTTAGTCTGGATATCGATATGACTTAATTTTAAGCAAATCATTTCTCATGATTATAAATTTCTCTTCCTTATCGTATTCCATTCGAATCTTTGTGCACCTTTTGGAATTCTTTCCATTCCTAAATTCTCATCGATGTTGAAATAATTGTATTCGTTCGCATTTTTTTCCAAAGGTTCCCATAAAACGGGAATAAGTTCTGTGGTAGTCGGTGTGGGATTTCTACGGGACGATTGTAATAATCGTTTAGTCGACAATATTCCATGCAAATATATATACATGCATATCTGTCTGTGTATGTGTGTGTGTCTTTATGTTTATAGGGATATGGTTATAAAGAAATAAATTAGAAGATACTTTACCCTGTCTTAGCAAAGTCAGTCCACAATTGCGTAAAATATTCCATTATTTTGTAATCTTTTGTCCCAGGACTATGTGGTTTGAATAATAAATATTTCTTTAATTTTCCATAGAACATATAAAACAATTCGTCGCTATGCGTAGGTCCTAGTATAAAAAAAAAAATTATGAAACGATTTATGTATAATGTGTGTTTTCATATACACTTAAAAAGATAAAAGTTTCTCCATATTTCTCTTTTATTTTTCTTTATTCTTTTCTTTTATTTCTTTTTTTTTTTTACCTGGTATCTGAATGCACATGGCCGTCTTCATAAAGGTAGCATTTGTGGAGTCATAAGAGAACTTGTATAAGTACACCGGATATTTATTTATCTTCGGCAAGATTCGTGCTAATTCAAAAATATGATAATAGAACATTAAGTCTCCTAGAAAATACATAATATTTTCGGAGGATTCATCGTTGAAGGATTTTTCACCGAAGTACAAACGTTCCAAATCATCTATCGTGGTATTTTTTTCTTCGAGCTTTTTCACGAGATATGGCGGTATTAAATCCTTGATAGTGGCTTTAAATTGACGAATTCTTTTCAAAATAATCGCTGTAGATGAAACACATTCGTTAATGAAATTATATGAGCGCTTTAGTTTTATTCGTTCAAGTATTTTAAACGGATTATCAATAATTTGTAATAATAATATAGACTAAATCAATATCTCGATACTTAATTGTTAAATGCTTGTAATATAAACTGTAGCGAAATTGTTTTTTCTCTCTCTTTCTCTCTATCGACGATAATAAACATCACCGACTTACATGAGTTTTTATGAATACCCATAAAAAAGGATCCTTCTATACCGTTGAACCCAAACATGAACGGTACCTTAGTGCCAAGTTGCATAGCGACCTCCGGTGGTTGCGCTAAGAATGGATTCTTGGATTTGTAATCCACTCCTGGTGAAAACGCCGTGTACACCGTCAATTTATCCTAAAAAGTACATAACTTTCGTTTTTATTTATTTAAACGAAACGAACAACACTGTCCGCGTGATTCAATCGATAGAACCAAGATATATTATTTACCTCTGGTATTACATATGATTGATATTTGACGAGTTTCTTAACATCCACTTTTCGTAGAAAATCCACGACAGCTTCTGGATCGCACGATTCGAAACCTAACATAGATGATAACTGATAACCGTATCTTCTTGGTTCGTCGGATGTGTGAGCCCAACTATTCGTTGCTAAGCCGCTTTGCGCTATAGCCTTGTGAAATAATCCTGAAAGAGCGAAAAAAGAAAAGATAAAGAAACGAAAAAAGAAAGAAAGAAAAAGGGATATCGGTAAAGACGAGATTTTCAAAAATGTAGATGTTGTCTACGGAATATATGTCCAATTTCTGATACGCGATATGGAAAGAAAAAAAAAACGTATAGGACAAAAAAAGAATCAAAAAACGCATTTATATAAAATTAATTCAATTTTTTTGTACTTGTAAATATCATCGTTTCAAATTTTTTCACCATTTTAAAGATATGACCCAGGTAGAAACGCAATTAAATGGAAATGAATAAAAATCTACCTTCTGCCAACGGTGATATTGTTAAATAATGAACAGAGGCTGCTCCAGCGCTTCCACCAAATATAGTTACGTTCTGAGGATCACCACCGAATACTTCGATATTTTCTCTGACCCAACGTAATGCCATTACTTGGTCCTTTAAGCCTTGATTTCCCGGTGCAACTTCATGTTCCAAATTAAGAAATCCTAAAGCATGTCTTCCTTAAGATAAATATGTTACTATGCATGAAATAATACAGATTACAGAGTTTTCTTGTTTTCTGTAAAATCATTGCGACGTTTTCTTTTTGTTCCTTTTTTTCCTCTTTCGTTTTTATCAGAAAGAAAAAGAGAAAGAGAGAGGGTGAGAGAGAAAGAGAGGGAGAGATAGAGAGAGAGAGAGAGAGAGAAAGAGAGGGAGAGAGAGAGAGAGAGATAGATAGATAGATAGAGAATAAGAATTGCAATTATAGATTTTAATTAGAAAGAAGGAACGTTCGTTTTTTCTTGAATTTTAAAATACCGCTTAAATATTTATGAGAATATAATTAGAATTGTAATTATAATATTATCGAACAGAAATAATGTTCGTTTTTACTTACCTAATACACCTAATCTATAATTGAACGTAACGAGTATGATGTCCTTTCGAATGATATAATCAGGACTATACATGTCATCGTTTCCTGATCCCACATAAAAACCGCCACCATGAATCCATACCATTACCGGCAGTTTTGCAGACATCTCGATTCTTTTTGACTTATAAACGTTTAGATAGAGACAATCATCGCTACCTATTACCTTATCACTCGTAGTTAATTGCATGGAAATATTACCGAATTTCGAACCATCCCTTATTCCGTTCCATCCTTCCGCTGGTAATGGATCCTAATGATTTGTTCTTTATTAAAAAAATTTAATATATTAAATAAATAATAAATATAAGCAACTACTTATAATATTAATAGTAAAATAAATAAGAAATTAAATTTATATTAAATATAAATATTATAATTATAAATGTATATATGTATATATTAATTGAGTCATATAAAATGATATTTAAAATAGAATGAATATACAATGTTCAAGAGACATTGCATTTTTTTCGATATACATATTTCATTTGATATGTATATATTCTATTGAAAATATTTCTCTTGGATTTTAATATTTTTTGATTTTACAATAGTGGGAATGTTAGTGGCCAATGATCCGATATTATCAACGTTTGTTCGTAAGAAAAATGATACATAATTTTTTTTCCCTTTTTTCTTACTTTTTTTTATTTCTTTTTTTTTGCGAACTAAAAAGAAGAAGAGACATTGATTGAGATGAATTCATTTCAATTAAATATTAAATACCTGAAACCTAAGCTCGCCGATCGGTGGTTTCGCATAAGGTATTCCTCGAAATGCCAAATAATTATCATTATTACTGCAAACGTTATACTTAATGACACCTTGAATTTTTCCCTGTTTGAGACATAGCACAGGTCCTTGTTGTTGGCGATCCATATATTTGGTCATATAATGCATATATTGTTCTACATATTTATATATAGCTGTGTATATATATTTATATATATAAGAAAAAAAAATTCGCACAATCATCATAGACATGAAGAAGATGAAAAATAATAATATAAGAGACCTGTATCTGGTCAACAGTCCGAGAGACACTGGGTTTCTCTTTTTTGTCGTCGTATTTCTGTACACGATATTCGAAGTGGGGAAAGATGAAATAGTAAGTGGGGATTAACAGAAAATAAAAGAAACGTCATTTTGTGCTAATCCTGTTTTCTAGAATAGTGAATTGCAATGTTATTTTTCTCAAGTAATTATGATAAACGTAAATGAAGAAAAGAGTAAAATGATTAAGAAAATATATACATTTATGTACGTATTCATATAATATATGTGATCTTTTGCCTTCCGCTGATACACTGGCGTGACGTATGCTTGCCAATGATTATCGATCGCTGTTATGTACGTGATTTTTTCTCGCCAAGAATGGTGCTTCATATCAACGTTTGTATGGGTAGACATGCTTTTGCAAAGCAACATTTGACGATCAGGGAACATAGGTTTCCGCCTACAACGTTCCTCTGCATTTTGGAAAATGTTTTCAAAATTATCATACTAAAAAAAACTATGAATCCTAGGAGTTAAATTTTTTAAGTAAAATGTTTTAGTACTAATTAAAAAATATAAGACTATGGAATAAAAATAGTGTAACAGTTATTATAGTGCTTTCTTTAATAATAATTATATTCCAACTACTTATGTTGCGAAAAATTGCATAAATATCACCGTTGGCGAACAGTAGAACCTGAGTGAATCTCGCCGGCGGAAACGTAACGGCCCTTCGATAAATGCGCGGCCGGCAAAGTGTAAAAAGTATATAATATATTATTTTGTTTTTGTTTTTGTTTTTTTTTTGTTTGTTCCATGTTTTTTACTTTTTAATACATGATTATAATATATAATAATTTCATGATTAATAATAATGTAACGATAGAAAGAATTTATTTATGACATATTTTATGATTATCGATTCTTGATGAAAATTTTCTTTCATTGTACGAAGATCTTATCTAGTACGTCTAGAGCATGAAG